AGTGTGGTTTGTCAGAAACAGCTGCTCACAGGACAGCATCCTTTCTGAGGATGAAAGGTGTACATTCGACATCCCTTCCATGGGTGGTGGCGAGAGGGTCCTCTCCCTTCGTCATCCTAACATCCAAATCAGGATGCTTGCTTACCACCTGGAGTGGACACAGTTGAGTTTCCTGGGATTCACTAGCGTGCAAAATCTAGCTCTTGTATTTTTCTTGATATTTACATACACGTTCTTGATGTATTAAGTGTAAAATGTCCAATTGATCTTCTCTTTGGGATATATTTGAATAATCTGATAAGCAGGCATTTGGTTGGTTTTGTTGATTCAGAGGTCCACCGCCTTTTTCCTTAGACTCCCAGAAATGCTCAGCAATTTCAGAGCAAGTAAGTCTTCACTAAGAAGCAGCAAGGCTTGAGACAGAAAAAAGGATATGGAATAAGAACAGAAACATCTAAAGAAATGCTTCCATTTCCCTAAGGTTATCAATCTTTTGGAGGCCCAGAATTGAGGAAAAAAAATATGGAGAGGACAGAAATTGTAGTAGGTGTGAGGTTTGTTGGCCATTTTTTTTAAGGTAATTTTAATGCTCTCTTCCTCTATCTTTTTTCTTTTCTTTCTTCTTCTTCTTCTTTTTTTTTTTTTGGTGAGGAAGATTGGTCCTGAGCTAATATTTGTTGCCAATCTTCCTCTTTTTGCTTGAGGAAGATTGTTGCTGAGCTAACATTGGTGCCAGTCTTCCTCTATTTTGTATGTGGCACACTGCCACAGCATGGCTTGATGAGCAGTGTTGTAGGTCCATGTCCAGGATCCAAACCTGTGAACCCCAGGCCGCTGAAGTGGAGCACATGAACTTAACCACTGTGCTGCCAGGCCAGCCCAACCATTTTATTTTAAAAGTGCATCTTTGGACAAAATAGACCTCAGATACAGTAGCCAGAGAAAAGCCACAGTCACTTTGGTACGTGTGACGACATTACCACATCTAGGAAACAATAGCACGTGCTCTGAATTGTCCCTGGATAGCACTAAGCTGTTCACTGGTTAGAATGACCTACCCGTGAGGGTCCAACTTCCATGATACTCTTAAGATTCTTAGAGGCCTGTAAATCTATTAGTGCACCATCTTTCTTCCCCCAGCTCTGGCTTCCAGAGCACACTGGAGGATAGTAATAATAGAAATGATAATTGGAGCTTGTATTTGTTAAGCATGACCCACTAAGCACTTTATATACATTATCTGATTTAATTCCCATCACCATCCTTTTATGTTGTTGGTATATTCCAGTTTTTACTGAGATTAAGAGTGGTGGAGGGTCTCACCCTCCCTGTTAATATTCCAAGGGGTTGGCCCTAAACCCTGTCAGATAGCTCAGTACCAGGCTAATGGAATTTCCCCTCCAGGTCCAGGATGTCATTCTCGCAAACTACAGAATTACTTCAAATTGTGAAAAATCAACATGTACTCCCAGGTGAAAGACTTCCTCCAAGAATCCTGTGTGTTTGTTCATGTGGGTTCATGGAATTTGGAGAGAATGCCCAGCTGGTGTGCTCCACATGGGATCCAGGCATATCCCAGTAATGATTCCCCATCGATCCTGGGCGGCAGGGCTTGCATCACTTGCCTCTGGGTCAGCATGTGTCTTGCTGTATGCATATCATTGTCTCTCTGTGCTGTCACATGAGAGAGGTACAGAAGTGCTGGCTGTGGCGAGTGGGTCATCGCATGGGCTTTGAATTGAATCAGATTGGGGGAGTCGTGTGTAGCTTGGGTTAGGCTCCTTGGAATCCTGGGGAATGTGGAAGGAAGAAATGAGATTGGTTTCAAGGAAAGGTTGTTGTGCATTAGAATCTTCTGTTTCCTCCTTCAGAGTGTTAGCTTTTTGTTTAGATATTATTTTTTTCCTCTGCCAACTTCCATAAAGAGTTTGAGACACCTGACAGTAAAAGATTCACATAAGTATATACACAAATGCATATAAATGTATACCCATACATTGTATATATGGTTTTTATAATATATCACATCATATCATATCATATATATCCAGTCACCTGGGATGCTGGCTATAGGAAGACATACAAGCAGAAAGAAAACTTATCAGAAGGCCTCTTTGAATGGCTTCAGAATTTTGAAGCATCAAATCTGAAAGAGCTAAGCTGACTTGGGAGCTTCTGAGGACACAGTTACTGGTCTTAATGGGTCCCCAGGAAAAGAGTGTTGGCACAGACCCAGTGGAGCCCTTAATTTTGAGCTTCCCTCTGCCACCCAGGTCATCTGCCAGGCTGAGTTAGCCATAAAAAAGCCTTCACCCTAGGAAGAGCCCAGATAATTGAAACTGGTGAATATTGTCCAATCAAGTGATGTGAGTCTGCTAAAAAATTGTAATTTTGGATTTTTTCATAATTGACATTTCAGCAGTTTTTTTTTCCCTGACAACTAATGATAGCAATCAAGACTTTATGTAAGGCCAGTCTTAGAAGGAGCTGGAAGGATCCCTCCCATGAGCATGAAGGAAGAAGCTTGGCTTCCTAATGTAGGGTGGGATGCATCAGTTAATCCAGTAGCTGTAAGAAATTGTTCAGCTGTAGGTATAAAAGGAGGGAGGTCAGAAAGCCCTATTTTCCTCCATTTATGAGTGGAATTTGTGCCTTCAGAATTCTGTTCCTCTTCACCCATGGTTTTTGATTGATACCACAGTAGAGACTAGGAGAAACAGTAAAAGCACATGGGTCTGCATCAAGATGATGCAGTTTGAGGGGGCCGGCCATGTGGCGTAGTGGCTAAGTTCAGCACACTCTGCTTCAGGGGCCCAGGTTGGTAGGTTCGGAACCAGGGGCCCAGACCTACACCACTACTCGTCAGCCATGCTGTGGCCGCAACCCATGTACAAAATAGAGGAAGATTGGCACAGATGTTAGCTCAGGGCGAATCTTCCTCACCACCACCACCAACAAAAAGATAATGCAGTTTGATTCATGGGGGCTCCTGGCCACGAAGTCACAGTTCTGGAAGTTTCTTCCTTCCTGTAGGCTCCTCCTGCCTGTGGCGATGGCACTTAGATTCCCTGCTTGTGAGCTGCTCCTGCCTTTCTCCACTTAACCTTCCAGCTTCACGTTCCTTATCTGTAAGCGGAAATGGCAGTTCTTGCTTTTCTCATTCACGAGATGGTTGTGAGGATCCTCTGAGAAAACTGGTGTGGAAGAGCTGTGAGATGATGACGTATGTCTCCATAAGGCATTACCCTGCTAATCCTTCCATTGGAGATGTGCCAGGGGCCTGCTGCCCTGGGTGGCCTAGTGGGGAAGGCCCTGGGCTGGTGATCAGAGGATGCAGGTGCTGGTGCTGAGAAGACACACAACCACCTGTGTTAATGTGAGCCAGCAACTTCACCTTTGCAGCCCGGCTCCCTCTTGGTGAGAATTTCCATCAGCTGTGATTACTACCTGCAGATTATTCATGCCGCTCTGTTTGTTAAGCCAGCCTGTGAAATTCTGTTGTAAGTCCTCTCTTGGAATTCTCTAGAAAGTGTGCACGTATTCTTCCCTGTATTTCCATATTGCTCTGTGCCTTGTGGGGATGGTCATGTATTTGTCTCCATCTAAGATCATAAACTTCGGAGCCCTTGGCCCATGCCATGTGAATCTGCCTGTCTGCGCCATCCGACCCCACTGTCATAGGAGGCAGACACTAAGCGTTGAATTGCAGTCATATTGCTTTAAGCCGTATACCTTGATATCGTACTTTTCCTGATAAAGATGGATACTTAACTCACCATCATCCAGTGACTTGGGTTTCTGTTCTGCCTGCTGTCTTTTTAGACCAAGATCATTTCCCAAGATAAAATCACCTCCTGGGATGAAGGCAGGTAGAACTCTTAGCATAATGCCTTACGTAAACAGCTGACAGCTGGCATCTGCTATTGTTATCATGAGTAGCCTTTGCAATAGACATTTTAAATACCTATCCTAATGATGGAAAATTTAATGTATATCCAGAGTTTTTTAAAAAACCTTTTTGGACATTGTAAATTGTTTCCTTATTATCAAAACTCTTCCTCAGATTTCTAAGAAATATCAAAAATGTGTTTCATCATATTTCTCTTCTCTTGTCTGTTCTTTATCGGGCATGCTGGTGAACTCTGACATTCCTTAAGTAAGGTATTTAGAGGAAAAATGAAAGACAAATTAGGAGGTTTGGAGAAGTCAAAATGTTCTTCCTGAACGATAAAAAGATGGTTGTGTATTGGGGGCAAGTTTCAGTATACCGTAATGGCTAATGACGTGGCTCCGTGACTTATGCTTTGCGGTTTTGATCAAGTTGCTTTTCTTCTCTCTGTGCCTCAGTGTCTCCATCTGTAAAATGAGATACTGCTACTGCTTGATAGGGCTATTATGAGGATTAAATGAATTAATAGATGTGAAGTAGTTAATGTGTGGCCCTGTGTGCAGTCAACGCTCAGTAAATGTTAACTATGAATAGAAAACCAAGAAAGAGGCATCCCCACTTCCAAAGGTAAATGGTTAACTTCTTGACCTCTTTTCTGAATGCTAAATTTGTAGTTCACCGCTTCTTTATCCCTACATGTGTAGCTGAGTCTTCTGGATTCCTCATCTGTCATAACCTGCTTGCTAATTTCCCTTGTAATATCTCCTGACTCGTGATAGTTTAGGATTCAAGTCCTACTTTCTCTGAGTCTCAAATTGTCTCATCTGTGAAACAGGGAAAATAGTAATGTCTACCTCATAGGGCTACTGAGTGTATCAAAAGAGTTAATACCTAGAAAGCTCTTATGGTGTTTGGTACATAGTAAACACGCAATAAATAACATCAGGACCATCTATACTTTTGTTATTTCTTTGGATAGGAAAGCATTCCCTGACATGCCAACAAATCTCTTTAGGAAAGGAGTTTAATCCTAACAAACTAACCCATTAACGTCTGTTTTTGAAAAGAATTCTTGATAAGGATGCCTCTGTATCTGTTTCTGCTATTTCAGTCATTTCTACAAGTGATCGGTGTGATGGGCGTGGCAGTGGCGGTGATTCCTTGGATTTCGTTACCCCTGATTCTCCTCATCATCGTTTTCTTTGTTCTTCGGCGATATTTCTTGGAAACATCAAGAGATGTCAAACGCCTGGAATCTACAAGTGAGTACCGGACCTCTCAGGTTGGGGTGGCAGTGCAAGCTAATTTATGCTCTAATTAAGGAGACCCCTGAAATGTGTAGGCTCTATCTTCTGGAATTTCTCTCTAAGTTAATATAAGGTAATTGAACATTATGGCCCCCATGAGTCAGTGTGGCCCTTAGGACAGATGGAGCTGGTGGCCTGCCAGGTGCAGCTTTGCAGTTTTGCTTGAGGAAGGAGGGAAGGACGTCTGTGCAATGATGCTCCACTGCAATGTAAGCACCATGAAGATGAGGACCATTTCTGTCTTATTCATGACATCCTTCCTAACATGGAGCAGGCACTCAATAAACATTTTTAGAAGGAAAATAGGGAATTTTTCTTCCTCTGGAGTTACTAGAAATGACAAGGAAAGGAAAAGATGAGGGAAAGGGAAGGAGATGTCAGGAAATACATGTCAAAAGTGATACACGTGAAAAATGTATTCCTTTCGCATGCTCAAAAAATGATAAGTTGCAGTTGTTAAATGTTTTAAAAAGATAAGCATTATTATTTTCAGTTTTGCTCTTTATTGTCACCAATATTTGGTGTAACGCCACACTGTTTGAGGTTTTTTCTCCCCAGGCTGTTCACATAAATGGATGCTGAAAATAATCCCCTTAGCTGGAGGACATGGGAGAGGGATCCGTTCAGTGTGCACTTAATCTGCTACTCTGTTCAACTTCCTAGTTTTGAAAGAATGGGGCAAACATTTTGTGATTAATCATTCTATGGGTAATCACAGAGGATGAAGTAATTCAGAGCTTATCTCCTTATTAATGCACAAACATACTGCATTATTATTAAAATAAAAAAATCCGAAGGAGAGTAGAATAGTTGTGTCTTAAAAAAAAAGCTATAAGGACAATAGCCAAAATGTGAGGAAGGAAGGCATTTGTATCAGAAACTTCAATCATAGATAGCTACTCAAATTAACGCCAACTTAGCTTTCTGGAAGCCAAGCTAAGGACAGAAACATATTGAGTCCCATGGTTCTCCGTTTCTACTATAAGTCCATCAGGACAAAGGAGTTTTTTGTTGTGGCACATGTATGTTTCTTTTTTAATAATAATCTCTTGAGAGGTATTTATTGTAAGCATTTGCATAAAGGGATAGTGGGTGGCAGTTTCATAAAAGCTATAAAAACTTTTTCCAGTCATCGAGAACCAGCTAAACCACCATGAGGTCTGGTTTTGTGAGTTGTTTTGCTGGGATGATGGTGCAGTGTAGTCCAGGTGTGTGTAAACATTGTGCTGATATGACTTGGTATGAAGATAGGACTTGGAGAAGGCGGAAGAATAAATGATGAGCTCCAACCAGTCTTTTATGTAGACATCAAGGCTTCGGACTTTTTATGATTTATTGGCCACTCATGAAATGGAATCATTCATCAATCTGGTTGCAAAGGAGGGACCTGGTATATTTAAAGAAAGGTTGTTCCAGAAGGAATGCTTGATGTAGATTTTTGCCTGGGGCAAGGGTCGCTTCCCACCCACAGGGAAGTGGAGAGAAGGGGACCTCTTGAGGCTTTTTTCAAGAAGCAGTGTAGGGTTTTCTTATTGTTTAATTTGGAGATTCTGAGAACTTTGGCACAGTCCCTGTGGAATATTGGGTTTTCCTGCACCCAAGTAGGCTGCTACAATAAATTAAAGATGGCGACTCCCCCATCCACGCTCCCAGATAACCAAATAGCCAGTCGATTGGTTCTGTGTATTGTTATCTATCTGGGTGGGGGCGTCTGTGCCATAAGTAACAATTCCACTGTTTCCTCTGAGCAATAATTGATAGTATTTCTTGAGGCCACTGCTGGAGCCACCAGCAAAAGGGACACTTGATTACTGTGGCTAGAAGGTATAAACCTACTTCATCCTTGTGCTTTGAAGGACTACTGAAGTTCCAGTGGGTATTTCCAGATGATACTGCCTGTCTGCCTCTGGAACCTTAGGCTGACATTTAAGCTGTCTTAATGACAAAACTGCAGTTGATTGTAATAGTTCTTCAGTTTTGCAAACGGGAGTGTGGCAATGGCCAGTCCAAGAGAAGTGCATAAAACCAGGTTGACTTTTGGTTGCGTCACCCTAGTTGACTCTGCTTGTTTGGCAATGTGTGAATTATGAAGGCATATCCAAATTCTGTCTGAAAGGATGTTGTGATCAACTAGTAATGTCTGCCATGGGCATTACTGAGGAGGGTTAACGTGTGTGCCACAAGTTTTCAGGCCATAGATTCTCAAGTGTGCTGTTTTAAGGAGTTCTCATGCCAGACTCCCAGGGACTCTGTTCACCTCAAGGTGCTTAATAAGATGTACAGTAATGGGTAAGGCTGTGGATATTAGCTAAGTAAGATTTTGGGGTTTTCTAAACATAATCTACAAATTCTGGAGAAAAATGCATTTAGTCACACATCGTCAACTTTAACCCTGATTATTCTTTCTCTGAGATACTGACTGGGACTAGAAGCACAGCCTTAGGAAGACAACAACTGGGTCTGACACCCGTCTTTACCACTTACTCGGGTTAATTAACTTAATCTTGGGCAGTGCTCTTAATCTCTCAGTCTGTTTTTCCCTCTGTCAGGGATATAATACCCGCCCTCTAGGGTTCTCAGGAGGATTGCTTGAGTTGATCCTTTTAAACTGCTTGCTGGCCAATATGAAAAGCCCTAGAACCTTGAACACGAGGGAGTGAAAAACATATAACAACTAGCAGGTCTCGCATAGCGTTAATGATAACCTGCAGCAAGGCTGTCAGCCCAGGTCCCTGCCTTCCGTCTCCCAGGGAAGATTTGCAGTCCATGTGGGGTTTGTCCCAAAGAGTCCTCGGGGTCGTGGAAAACGCAACTGTCAGCCTTGTGAAATGTGGGGTTACCTTTGTGACTACTGACTGATGCCATGGGTGTTTATGCAGATCTACTTCAGGATAGCCAGCTCAGTCTTTGTGGGGAAAAGGGTATTAAATTCGGCGAGGTAATGCTTTGACACCCCCTCTCCCTCTGTACTAGTTAATTTTCTTTGCAGACCCTCCAATTCACTTGTGCTGGTATCCTCAGCCCTAAGTGGGATTTGAAAGGGACTGCTTTTCACAGGGACAGATTCCTGCTGGGCCACTGTGATTCTTGGGTATGAGGTGAAGTAGCTGATGTGGTCTGCCCGACAGTAGCTAGTTAAAATCTCATTCATCGTGGGGAATGATAACCGTAAAGGATCGTCTCTGCCCAGCAGCATGCAGCCCACCTGCTCCCTTGAGGGGCATGAGCCAGACCCTGCTGCTCGTCCACAGCATGCTCTTAGAGAAGACAGCAGGGAGATAAATGGCCAGTTGTGTGATATCAGGTCCCAGACCAATGGGAAGTTACTCCAAAAAGAATGGCCACTAAGGCCATAGTCAGATTTTGAGAGGGCGATATCAATGTCATGTGCCACAGTGACCTCCAGATTCCAGGACAAGGTCCAGCAGGGCAGTTATAAAAACACCCATCAGGTTCCCGGAGCCGAAGTGGACTATTCAAAAGCGCTTTGGCTGCCCAGGTCCTGTGGGCACAAGGATGGTACAATACCTAGGTGATCCATCACCCATGAAGAGACTCCTGGCGCAGGAGCAGGCCTGGGGAGATGCCCCAGCCTGTCCCTTCCCCTTACTTCTTACTTACCATGCACCTGTCCTGTGCCAGGCACTGTTCCAGTTTTGGAGGTATACTGACTTTATCCCAGACCTTAGGAAGTTAATAACCTAGGGTGGAGAAGACACATGATAGCTAATCATAATTCCATGTGGTGAGTACTCTACCAGAGAATTAAATTTAAGACCGCCACTGACTCAAAACTTAGTGAACAATAATTTCCACCCAGAGGGGTGCCAGGGAAGAATATGGAGGGAGGCCATGTTTGAGGAGGATCTTGAGTCAGGGAAGAAAGAATTTTGTTATCTAAATCTAGCTATGATTTGAATTTGGTCAAAAGATAGGTTCAAAGAGAAACTTTCATTTGCAGTTCATTAAAGTGAAGTGTGGTGTGACCAAGAGTTTGAGAGCTGAGCTGAGGGTCCTCTCCAGAAGGGGCATCGTCTCTTCTCCCCCAGGCAGCCTGCTGGGAAGCTCCGGGTGTGCTATTTGGTGGGACCACAGAACGCGGGAGGCAGTTGGTTTCCTTGCTTCCAGCCTCACTGACTTTCTCTTTCTTGTCTGTCTCTGCTTCCCCAGCTCGGAGCCCGGTGTTTTCCCACTTATCGTCTTCTCTCCAAGGGCTCTGGACCATCCGGGCATACAAAGCTGAAGAGAGGTTTCAGGAACTGTTCGACGCACACCAGGATTTGCATTCAGGTCTGTAAGTTTCTGGAAACGGTTTCAAAGGATGAGATATGCTGCCTTCTGGGGCTTGACCATCCTCTCAGGTGTCCTTGCTAGCCAGCACCTCTGTCTCGGCCCCACCTACCCCCCATCCCCCAGCCCAGCCCCACATCCTGCCTCTCATGTGTATTATTTTTTGTATCAGTGAAGTTTTTTCTATATAGACATTTTAGAATTTCCTCTAAGTCTATAAAATCCTGGCCCAGCTTTCCAACTCTATTGTAATTTGAAGACAAAATGGCATTTTGAAAGCCACTTGCAGATACTTTTAGTGAGATGGTCGTTTAGGTACTGGCTCCTAAGGAGTAAACACTGTGTGCTGGGCTTGTAGGAAGGGTAGAAGGTGCTGGAAACAAACTGGGAACTGTGTTCTCTGCTGTTGGAGAACTGAGCACAGTCCACCACGTACGAAGATGAGCTTCACAGTGAGGCCCAGCACTGCGAGGAATGCACTGATGAGACTATTTTTCCGTGTTCTTTATTGCGATCATATATTTGTTTGTAACCTCTGGGTTTAATTTTTCAGTGCGTGCTTCCCACAAAGCCACTGTACTGATTCCTATATGTACTATACATTGTCTTGTGTCACAGCTTAGTTTTCTGGAATCTTCAGGTTCCTTAGGTATGCAGCTTGCTGTCCTGCTTTGTGTCGAAATCTCCTGTAGCTCAAATGAGCAAAATACTCTTCCTCGTTCAAAGCAGTTAACGAGTTTTTCTCCTTATTCATTACGCTTATTACGGTTCACAAATCCAGAGGCTTGGTTCTTGTTTTTGACTACGTCCCGGTGGTTTGCTGTGCGTCTGGATGCCATCTGTGCCATCTTTGTCACTGTTATTGCCTTTGGGTCGCTGATTCTGGCAGAAAGTAAGTACAGATGTGAATAACTATTTGTGGTATGATTACAATTTATGGGTGCATTTACGGTTATTAAATTAAACTCTTGCCACCTTGTCTAATATCATATACTGTTTAGTTCTAATGAATTGTATTAAAGTATTTGCAGTGTGTCAGGTTGGGTGTGATTCTGCAGTGTGGCCCATGTAGAGGAGTCCTTGGGTCTTGATGAGTTCCTTTTTTCTTTCTTTGGATGGATCGAGGTCTGTGCAGGTGTAGAAGTTGACCTTCTGAACATTCCTGGTAGTGTCTGGCAGTTGTGAGGAGAGAACCAAGTTTACTAGTAAGCTTTTTGTCCGGCTTAGAACTGTAGGTTTTAGCTTTAGAGCTATTCAGGTCTCTTGGTTGTAGGAGCGTGGTGCCCTGGGATGAGAAAGATTCTCAGCAGGAAAGAACATTATCCTCACTGCCTCCTGGGTACCAGATGAACAGGTGTGGCATGCATGGCTTGAATTTGCCATCCCTAACTATTCCATAGTAACAACACTGAATCACAATATTTAATAATGCAACAAAGGGAGTAGTATTTTAGATTTAAAAGCACTGGCTTTTACAACCCGTTTCCTTATTTTTAGTGGTTTCCAACTGTGGTTGCGTTAGATGTAGAAAGTAAAATGATGTAATGGACCTTGAAACCATAATGACAAAAGTCTGAATAATGACGTTATTCCTCATCTGTATAATACTGTCAAGTGTATTATCGATCCTGTTGAGATTAATAAACTCAATTAATTGTCTGAATTCAAAATTTTTCATTTCTCATTGTATCATGGTCTCAATCAACAAATAGTAAAAGTATAATAACTATTACTATCATTATACACAAATTACTTAAATATAATAAAGGGGTATTGTGGGTACAGTGACAGAAGGAGCCAGGCTTGGGGTTAAGAATGGGGCTGACTTTATTCCCCCTCTTCTTCCTCATTTAGCGTTGGACGCTGGGCAGGTTGGTCTGGCATTGTCCTATGCCCTCACGCTCATGGGGATGTTCCAGTGGTGCGTCAGGCAGAGCGCTGAAGTTGAGAATATGGTAATGTTTATCGCAACGTTCTTAACCTTTTCAAGTCTCCTTGCCATTAAATGGCATAAAAGCAATTCTTATGTAGAATATTAGAACTGTTATTTTTACATCATAGCTAACAGAGTTTTTTAGATCCTTCCTCCATCTGTTTAAAGTTAATGTAAAATAAAATATATACTTTTTTTTCTCAGTCTTATGTATGCAATGTCAGCAGGTTTTATACTCATCACAGGCTGTTTTCAAATGTAATAAATGTCTCTGTAGGAGGGAGGTTCTGAAATCTTGGAGAGGATATGAGCTAATTTCTTAGAGGCCTGTTTGTTTATTTTTGTTTCTTAATGGATACTTCCTTATTCCTGGTAAAAGAAGAATTCAGTTTTTGGAGGTTGTTTGTTTAATTAATAGGTATCTCCCCCGCCCCTACACACACACATTTCAGCATTTATTCTTGTATGTTTTGAAGAGAAACAGGAGGGCCTGAATTTGCTGGTTTCCCTTTCAGGTAGAATAAGCACCTTCTGGGAAGGGGCGGGTCAAAGGTGTCCGTCATGATTGTTTAGGAGGCCTTAGTCAGTATGTAAATTATCTCCTCTTTTGAATATTTGCACCTTCTCCTAAAGGTGGAAAAACAATGAAAACGAAATCTTTCCGTTTTGTTCTTCTAATAGAGTAGAAAGTGACTGATTATTAAAATGAGGTTTGACAGCCATTAGTTTTATTCTTCTCTAACAGATGGCCCTCCTGTAGCAAAAGATTACTCATGGGTGGCCATAGGATTCTTCTTTTTTTTTTTTTTTTGACAAAATCCTCTTGTTTTTTATTCAAGTGTGGAAAGTAGATGAATAAAATCCTAGCATTTATTTCTTGAATTCTTCCAGTTTTAATATGATGTTGAAGGAAGTTGCCATAAGTGAAAGTGTTAGAAGACGGTGAACAGGTAAACCGTCAAAGGTCTGCTCAGACTCCTGCTTCTCTCCTTTGGGATGTTAAGACCTGAGAGATCCTTCCCCAGCTGTGTCAAAAAGCAGAACAGAACGTCTCATTTACAGTCTCTTAACATCAGTAAACGAGACCCACCCCCACCAACCTGTGTGATGTGCTGTGTCTTTCAGATGATCTCAGTGGAACGGGTGATTGAATATACAGACCTCGAGAAAGAAGCACCTTGGGAATACCAGAAACGCCCCCCGCCGAGCTGGCCCCACGAAGGAGTGATTGTCTTTGATAATGTTAACTTCACATACAGTTTAGACGGGCCTCTGGTGCTGAAGCACCTGACAGCGCTCATTAAATCAGGAGAAAAGGTTTGTTTTGGCCATCGCGTCTCTTTCAAATTTCATCCACAGAGTTAGCACCACATCTGCTCCTTGGCTTCCCCGCGAATGTGTCCAGGCAACTCTGTTCCTCTGCTGATGCCGATTAAATGCATGATATTATAGGTGAATCTTTCTTGGAAACTGACCATGGAAGGTGGATACCCACATTTCTTTCCTGGTGTTAAGTTCCCCAGGGCTGGAACTTAACCCGACCCAAGACTCTATCCGATATCCGATTATTCATGCCTAAGTCTTAGAAGTCAACCCTGGCTCCTCGTCACTAACCCTCCAATACCTAGTTCCTGTCGATTCTTTCTTCTGTGTCTTTCTCAAATCCTTCTCTTCCTCTCCGAGGTGCCCTTGGGCTGCAGTGTTCCTCCTCCATCCTTTGGATTTTGCACAGACCTGACCTCTAACCCATTCCTCGCACCATGGCCCTGCCCTCCTTCCTGTAGACTGCTGCTTTCTGAAACAGATCCACTCCCTGCCGGGCCCCCTGCTAGCTCCTGGCGTGGATCAGCCGCTGCTGGAACCATACCGTGGCCCCAGGTCCACTCAAGCAGGGGCTGCCTGGCCAGCTCTGTGCCACCAGAGAAGAGCTGGGATTCCATGACCCAGTCAGGCCGAGGATCTGCATTCCCCAGCTGGAGGCAGTAAAGGGCCCAGAGACCCCTCACAGTCCATGAAAGGAAACCCGAGGGGGCAGGGGATGATACACGTGGGAGATGGCCGAGAGCTTTGTGACATGGTCCCACCAGTGTCTTAGTCTGCTGGCAGTGCTCCTTTCACCTGGACAAGGCAGTAGGAAGCTCTTCCCCCACCTACCTCTCCAGCCTCGACTCCTCGCATGCGCACACCCCTACTCTTGGGTGGTGTAGGTTCTCCTAAAGCATCGTGTCCTCCCTGCTCCCAGCGTCTGCCTGCTGCCCTTCTGCCTCAGAGACTTCCCTGCCATCCTCTGGCTGGTGAAGGTCTTCTTGTTTTCAGTCACCTCTAATGCATCTGCCTTCGTGAGACTCTCAGTTCATCCAGGGCATCTTGTCTATTCTTTTAAGATAGTGTTTATGGTACACCCGTGTTCAAAGCAGCGTAATTCACAGTAGCCAAAAGGTGGAAGCAACCCAAGTGTCTGTCAATAGATGAATGGGTGAGCAAAATGTGTGATGTACATACAGTGGAATATTATTCAGCCTTAAAAAGGAAGGAAATTCTGGCACCTGGATGAACCTTGAGGATGTTATGCTAAGTGAAATAAGCCAGACACAAAAAGGCAGATACTATATGATTCCACTTACATGAGGTTCCTAGAGTAATCAAATTCATAAAGACAGAAAGTAGAATGGTGGTTGCCAGGGGCTGGAGGTGGGAAATGAGGAGTCATTGTTTAATGGGGACAGAGTTTCAGTTTTGCGAGGCCAAAAGAATTCTGGCCATTGGTTGCACAACACTGTGAATGTACTTAACACTACTGAACAATACACTTAAAAAATAGTTATGTTGTAGGTTGGCCTGGTGGCATGGTGGTTAAGTTTTCAGGCCCACTTTGGGGGCCCGGGGTTTGTAGGTTCACATCCCAGTGCAGACCTATGCACCACTCATCATGCCATGCTGTGGCAGCATCCCACATACAAAATAGAGGACAATTGCCACAGATGTTAGCTCAGCAACAATCTTCCTCAAGCAAAAAGAGGAAGATTGGCAACAGATGTTAGCTCAGGGCTAGTCTTCCTCACCAAAAGAAAAGTTACGATGGTAAATTTTATGTTATATGTATTTTAACACAAAAAATAAACGATAGCATTCATGGCATGCTTTGTAATTTTGGATTGCTATCTCATCATACCCTGAGGCTTCTTAAGGTCAGGGGGCACCTTATTTTCATCTTTGTTCCCCAGAAAATGGCATTCTGCAGGGCACATGGTGGGTGCCAAGGGGCTGCTGGCTGGGAGAGTGAGTGAGTAACATGCAGGTGTGAAGCAAGCAGTAACAGAAACATACCCACAAGACAACTCCTGTAAACAACCCATTATCTAGATATGTTAAATACTTTAAGAACTTCCCCTTTAAACTCTCTTTCCACCACAGACCCATTTAGTGGACTGTAGCCATAATTTGATGGATGATACCTTTGTGACATGAAAGAATAAATGTTCAACTTAATGCCCAAATTCTACCCAGGGAGCAGCTTTAGAAAGTCACATGGCAAAAGCTGGTTCCTAATCATCTCCAGTTTCATTGCAGATGGGGCAGAAGGTATGGACCACTGTGTCAGGCAGGCGTGAACTGCAGCTCCTCATTGTAACTCTGTCCCTGAGCACGCTGTGGGGGATGTTTGTGTTTTCGGGGACGGTGTATCCCTCACACTTCACGTTGTAAACGTTGATTCTGTTAATGTGCACGTCTTAAATTTCCCTCGAAGCCATAAAATGAGTTACCAAACAGACTTGGTAGTACAACTGAGAAACATAACAGATTTGTATTCTTCAATTTTAAAACCCCCAAATCATTGGATTATCTGCGCTTCTAAAATGTTTGAGGGAAAATTAAATTTGGAGACTGAATTATGAGAACTGCAATAGCTTGACTTTTGATTCGTGTCCTGGTCCACTCACAGCATCACCTTGAGCTCCACTTACGTGTTTGAGAGATTGTATGCAGGCAGCGTCGTCAAGAAATGGTTTCGCTCTGCCTGTGTGGGTCCCAGGCTCATCTCCTCCACATCTGCCCCAGCCCCCATTATTCCAGGACACCCCGTTGGCGTTGCGTTTGATTGAGAGAGGCTGTTGCTGGGGAGGATGTGGGAATTTGCCAACCCAGCAGAAATGACGCTTTATTCTCTTTCAGTCTTTTCCTCTGCTTTCCAGACTCCTGGAAGTTACAGTAAACAGGAAAATGTAATAGGTACGAAGCAGGTTTCTAATTCATGGAAGAAATAGCAAGTAAAAATAAAGAACCAAAATGAGGTAAATAGCACCCTGGGCTTCTTGGTTAGACTCTAAACACTGGCTGCATTTTTCATTTAGATGATTTTGTGGTTGATTTGATCATTTTAGAGAGTACTGGGCCATTTTAAAGCATTTTCCAGCTCTAGAGGTAGATTGGTTTTAGTTTGTTATTTTTTTTCTTCTCAGAGCTATTACTTGGATAATACATTTTTACAGATGTGTACTAGACCTTGCTATAATGTGCAAAAATATTAGTTTCCTACATTTTCATCTTTTTTTACATAATGTTTTCTCAGAAACCCCTCCTCTCACTCCAAGATTGGCCCACTTCCCCCGCTGGCTTTCTAATTCCTTGTTATTCAAACTGTGCTGCCAGGGCCTGCATCATCTGGGAGTTTCTTAAAAATGCAGAGTCTCAGGTCCTGACTCAGATCACATTTGAAGACGCCCCCAGTAAAGCCATCTCTGTCTCATAGGCAATTTTTGACGACTGATAACCTGTGATTTCCAAGAAATGTCCTTTGATGATTTGAAATCGAGCTCATGAATTACCCCAACCCCTTTTGTGACTGACCATGAGGCTCTAGAAAGTTCTATGCTGCTTCCCACCCTACAGATTTATTTACTTTTATGTTTTGCAGATCATGAATTTACATTATAACTTAATTCTGTGTGATTCCAAGTTTACGCATTTATTTGTGTCTTTTCAGTCTAGTCTGTCTTCATCACAGACAGCTTTCGTCCTGCTGTCCAGCCTTCTCCACACCAGCCTCCTGCAGGCACTAGAGGTATTTCACCACAGGCTGGGCCCCACCTGTGCCCGGAGTCAGAGACAGCCAAGCGTAGCATTATCTTTCACCACCTGATGGGATCAAAAATTAGTCTCATTGCCCCAAGCAGGGCACTAGGTCTGTCTGGCCTGTTTCCCAGGTACCATGTGCCCCACTTAGCTGCACATTTCTCTCCTAGCCCCAGCTGTGGGTGCCTCTTCTTCTTGCTGACAGCTAGTCCACCCCACCTCAAGAACCCTCTTTGCTCAGAGATGTTGGCTGTCTTGTCTCACCCGCCACATTGTACCCACCTGTATCCACATTGTGCTTTAAATGTCTGACAGTAGGGTCTGTATGGCAGACCAGTTCCTTTAACTGCCACCATACCTCTCCCCAACTTTCTCTCTTCTAGCTAGACAGAGGGACGTAATAAGGTGCCAGCCGAGTGATAAGGAGGCCATAAGCAGAGTGGGCAAGAGGCAGGCAGACCTGGGTTTGAGTCCCATCCTGCACTTAACAGGCTCTATTATTTCAGACAGGCTAATCAATCGTAGTAAGCCTCGATCTTCTCTTTTGCAAAATGGAAATAAGAGGACCTAACCTGTAGGATTGTCGTACAACTTAAACAAGATAAGACCTGTAAAGCACTGAGACCAGCGTAAACTAAATGCTTGGACAAAGATAGCTGTCCTTACTGTAAGACCATGAGCACTTACACTGCGTCAATTCTCTGCCCCATGAACATGAGAGATTGGCCATTTGCAATTGTATTCGTGGTTATAGGATCAGTCTGCCGTGTCTGTCTTCTCTGTCCAGCTTATCGTATACCAAAACAATATGGTAATAGATTTTTCCATAAATTTCTCCAGCCTGAGTTAAACTCCTCAGCTGTCCACAAAATGCTTATTTTGCACAGGATGCCACAGGTAATACAGATGATACAAAGGTGAATCCAGTACGGATCCTGGGGTCACACATGCAGTCCAGTAGAAGACACAAGGGTGTATAAAAATGGCTGCTAGCTAAGACAGAAGGAGGTCACAGTTCTTATGGAAGTTTAGAAAAAGGTGACGTAACACCTGTCAGGGGCAGGAGAGGTCCACATGAGGGGACAGGTAGAGCATTTCCGTGGAATTGGGCCTTTGGGACAGACTTCGTGACATGCAGTTAGGATTTCCGCAGGTGGAAATGCATGGGAAAGGCATTCCTGGTGGCAAGACCAGCGTGAGCAAAGGCAGGCTCCCATGAACCAGTGAGGGAAGGATTGGGTGCCTATAGAGTGCGTAGGTAAATGAACTACCAGGTGTTTAACACACATTTCCATGTTCAGTCCTCACAACTGCTAGTAATCCCAAGGAAGCTGACTGGTGGCACTTAAGCCTAGAGAGGTTAGTTGGACAGTTTAGTAGAAGAGACTTCCCGGGTGGTGTGACTGGTAGAGAGCTGTCGTTCAGAAGTTTAATCTGAAGAGTGAGTGCATGTGGATCATGATGGGAAGATGCAGGAGCCAGGAAGCCAGCACCTGTTGTGTACTCTTAGCAAGACATCTGGGGAAAGTGATTCCACTTTTTGGAATCAAACTGATGTCGATTAAAACAAAGTTAAAACACCCAGGTTTGTGACTGTGCAGGAAAAAGGGTGGGAGTCGAAATTGGTGTCATATTTCTGGAGGGTAGTTTGGCAGTACTTAACAGCCTCCTTTGAAAACGTTCATACCTGTTTCTCAGCAATTCCACATCTAAGAATTTATCTTAAGGAAGTAATTAAGGTTGCTTGCAAAGATTTAGCTTCAAGGATATTTAACATGGAGTTATTTAAAACAGCAAAATATTGGAGATAGCCTAAATATCCACAAATGGAGGGTTTGTTAAATAAATGATCACATATACTATAATATGTGGCCACTAAAATGTTTTTATGAAATGCTAAATGAAGACAGATTAAACAATGTGTTCATATTGATCCCTTTTTAAATATATGAGCTTGTATCTTTAAGGACACAGGCACAAGTGCAGGAAGAAAATACATCAACATCTTAAGAATGGTTGTACCGGAGTGCTGGGGTTATGGCTAGTATTAATTGACTTCGCACATTCATTTGTACTGGTTATGATTGAGAAAAGGGTTGATTTTGTTTTTTAAAAGATAATGCAGCCTTGCACTCAGTGAAGACTGTGGGGTTAAAATGAGGGGATCGAGTCTTGAAACGTGGTGGAGGTAGGATCATCAGGGCTTGGTGCCACACTGGACTGGGAGAAAGCTAAAAGTACGGTGGGCGTTTTGATCCCGTGAGCCTGGGAAAGAAGTTACGAGATTAAAATGAGGAGGTCAGCAGAAGCAGCTGTTTTGAGTGGGCATTGGGTACTGATTTTGTTGAGTTTGATGTGTGAAGAGAAATCCAAGTACAAATGTGTAACATGCTGGTGTGGTCATCACAGACCAACCTTGGCCTCGTTGAGAAAACATAAGGGAGTGGTTGCAAAGCAGCTAAAGTAAGAGCATCTCAATGTGTCTCTTTGATGTTATGAATGTAAACTTACTGATATTGGTGATATTCTCCATGGGCGATTGGTAAAACCCATGGTGACTTGTGAGAGACTCAGGCTACAGTTTTGATAACTGAACAACAAAGGGAAGTAGCCAGAGCCAGGTTTGCTTTGAGTTGCCTTTTTCTTATCCTCAATTGAGTTTAGAGCTCACAGTCCTGGGGTCATGGGCAGCTCTCAGTGCCTCCGGTCATATTTTGGCCATTTACCAAAAGTCTACTAATGTTCCAGTTTGTATAGATGGGTCAGTTTCCGTAGAGGTGATGGCACGGGAGCATTTGAACATTCTCAAGAGACGTGGTTCTTGTCTCTGTCTTGATGTGCGTTGATTTACATATGAGAACACCCAGAAGTACACAGACACCTACCTGAGCCGTGCATATATGCGCTAGGACCTATCCATATGCAGAAATTGGTCCATCTGTGAAATATAACTGAGGACTTATTATAAGGTACAAAATGGCTACAAAGGTAATAAAATTAGCTAAAGCCATTTTTCTTACATTTAATCACTATAAATTCTTCTTTTGAAATGCCATTATTGATTTTATGGATTAAGCATTAAAACTTTGGAGGTATTCAAATGAGAAAATATGTAAAGTTCCCACCTGATAATCAGTGCTCAGAAAGGTTTAGTTTTTCGCTGTTTAAAGCTGTAAGTTTTTTAAATTTACTAAATTAATTTACAAATGGTTGAAAGGATGTCTTATGTCCCTCTTTGATTCCAGATTCCTAAATAGAGATAGCATCTCCTGGGAAGCTCCCGCCTGGGAATTTGCAGTTAGGCAAGCTCATTGGTAAAAAAGGCCAGTTTCTGCCTACCAGTTTAAAGGCACACAGCCAAAAGCCCATTTTTACAATACAGTTTCGTTCCTGATCAGCATTTTACCTGCATTATATTGATTCTTTGATCTTATTGTCAGTGCACCTAATTTCTCTCTACTTTGGTTTTAATAACTAGACTGATACTTGAAACATATCTTTCCCAAGGGGCAACTGTAGGTATTAATTGGTTTGTAAATGCCTTTTGAACTGCTCAGATGAAAGGCCTCATGTAAATAGCAAATGTTATTTGTGTTGACGGTGTTGTTGTTGATCTCATTATGTGTATTTTGGCTGCTCACTACCATCTTTTAAGACACTTAGACCTGCACTTTAAAATTTTAAGATGTTTCCTTTCAAGACAGAACACAACCAGATCTTTAACATCCAGAAGTGATGTTGTTTCTCTACCAAAGATTAATTCCTCTTAAATGATAGAAGTCTGGTAAAATGAATACTTGTTTATGTATACCACTTCTGGCTTGACTTGTCGACATCTGTATAAAATTATCCAAGCAATTCTCAAGGTTCAAAATACCCAGATGCTAGAAATAAAGGTAATTTAAAAGCTGGCTTCTTATTGACCACTTAGGAGACTGCTGGCTTTTACTGCCAGTAGATTGATTCTGTTATTTTTAACTTTTCTTTAGACCAGTGGATCTTAACCAGGGGCACTTTGTCCCCCACACTCCCCAAGGAGACTTTTGTCAATGTCTGACATTTTTAGTTGCCACAAGTTGTAGGGTGCTACTGGTATCTGGTTGTAGAGCCCAGGGATACTGGTAAACATCCTGCAGTGTGCAGGACAGCCCCTCACAGCAAAGAATTATCTGGCCCAAAATGTCAACAGCACTAAAGCTGAGAAACTCTTCCAGACTACGTTCAATATAGGACTTCCTTAATTCATCTTCAGCAACCAAAGTTTCTCCTAGGTCTGTTGCATATTATTGTTCCTTCTTAATCCCTCCTGGATCTCTCTACAGGTTGGCATTGTGGGACGAACAGGAGCTGGAAAAAGTTCCCTCATCTCGGCCCTTTTTAGATTGTCAGAACCCGAAGGTAAAATTTGGATTGATAAGATCTTGACAACCGAAGTTGGACTTCACGATTTAAGGAAGAAAATGTCAATCATACCTCAGGTATGCAAGTCAGAGCATTCTCACATGTTCTTCTTAGAAGCACACCTAGGTTTAATTGCTTTTAATTTTACTCCCTTTCTTTAACTGAACAAAAAGATTGATCCTTTCCCCCCAATAGAGTGTATTTTTAACAGAAGTTATTCTCAACAGATATTTTCATTAGATACCAGGCTCTGTTTGTTTGTTCATTTCGTGTGTGTATGTGTGAAATTTAATCACTTACCCAGATAGATTTCTGGACTTGGACTTCCCCAGGTACCAGAGCTTTATGCACAGATAACCACATAATTTGAAGAACAAAATGATAAATGGTTTGTTTAGCACTCGACAGGTTTCTATAGGGAAACATGGATTTTAAGTGTCCTGATGGAATTTTGCTGTAGGAAATAAAATCTACCTTTTCAAAGGTGATTATCTCCTTGGAGGGCTTTCTGTGAAACTATGGGGCTTTGAGAATTACAGAGTGTACACATGCTTTGGGGGAAGTTTTTAGAATCTAGCCATTAGTAAATGATTTTTACCAAGGAGGCCACAGTCTAGTGAAGAAGAGCACGGGACCAGGAATTCCGTCTCCGCACTTCCCTTTTCTCTCCCTTACAAAGCAGCTAATACCTTACAGTCTCAACTAGAGCTGTTGTGAGGGCTAAACAAGACAGTGTGTGAAGTGCTTCTCACAGACCCAGTGCGTGGTTGCTGTAATGGTGGAGGGTTGAACTGACCGTCTCTTCCTGGGCTCTTCATTCTGATTTCTTTTATTCTGCTTCTTAAAGAAATAGGACTTTCAGGAAGTGTTCTAGAGACTGGATTATATGCACAATAGAAGCTCCTGTCATTCCTTGTGGTTAAACCAGTCAGGATAAATTCAGGAAATATTTATTGACCAAGTACTGTCCTCCATGTATATAGTCAAGGGCAACAGACCTTGTGCCCACCGGCCTGTGGTCTCACATCTTCCATCCTTCCCTCTGCTTTGACACATACATACTCAATCCCAGACTTGCTGTTTTGTTTTTTTTAATGTGGGGGTTTCTTTACACTCTACCATCATCTGACCATCAAGGGAAGCTGAGAACCACACCCACACACTCTCTGTTGATGAGAGACACAGACAGGAGATGACAAAAAGAGCCAGGCGAAGGTGCTTCCCAGCATGTGGATATCAAGAGCTCTGAAATGCCTGTTTATTAGGAAGCATAGAGAGAATGTGAACTTGTATCTCATGACCAACTGCAGCTATTGCTATCTGCCACTGGCCTCTGAAATAATTGAGATTACTGTAAGTAATTTTGAAATCAAGATATCCCTTTCAGAACCACAATGAGATGCCACCTCACACACATTAGGATAGCTGCTATCAAAAAACCAGAAAATAACAAGTGTTAGCGAGGATGTGGAGAAACTGGAACCCCTATGCGTGCCTGATCAAAATGTAAAATGGTACAGCCACATTTTCCTGTGGAAAACAGGATGGAGGTTCCTCAAAAAATAGAATCGTCATATGATCCAGCAATTCTGCTGCTGGGTGTATACCCAAAAGAATTGAAAGCAGGATCTTAAAGAGAGCTGTACATGCATGTTCATAGCAGCATTATTCACAATAACAGAAAGGTGTGAGTAACTCAAGTGTCCACTGACAGACGAATGGATAAACAAAATATGGTATATCCATACAATGGAATATAATTCAGCCTTAAGAAGGAAGGAAATTCTGATGCATGCTACAACATGGATGAACCTTGAGGACATTATGCTAAGTGAAATAAGCCAGACACAAAAGGACAATACTGTATGATTCCACTTAGATGAGGTACCTAGAGTAGTCAAATTCATGGAGACAGGAAGTAGAATGGTGGTCACCGAGGACTATGGGGAGATAGGGAATGGGGAGTTGTTGTTTAATGGGTATAGAGTGTCAGTTTTGCAAGATGAAAGGAGTCTGTCACTGGTTGGTGGTGATGGCTGTGCACCAATGTGGATGTATTTAATACCACTGAGATCTATACTTAAAAATGGTTAGGGTGGGGTCTGGCCCCGTGGCCGAGTGGTTAAGTTCGCATGCTCCGCTGCAGGCGGCCCAGTGTTTCGTTGGTTCAAATCCTGGGCGCGGACATGGCACTGCTCATCAAACCACGCTGAGGCAGCGTCCCACATGCCACAACTAGAAGGACCCACAACGAAGAACATACAACTATGTACTGGGGGGCTTTGGGGAGAAAAAGGAAAACTAAAATCTTTAAATAAAAAAAATGGTTAGGGTGGTAAATTTTGTTATGTGTATTTTACCATAATTTAAAAGAATTTTTTTAAAAAAAGATACCCCTTTCAGGAAAAACAGGAAGAATATACAATCCCTGTATTTAAAGATTCCCTCTGGCTATTAGATTCATAATGTAGTGATTACAGTAGAAAATATGAGCTTAAATTCCCAAGTTTTATATTTTGGTTGTACCCATCTCTGAAATGGGCCAAATGAGATTACCTGGCAGAAATAATGGGTGTGTCTGTGAAGTACTTTCATATCCTTGGATGAAAGGATCTAGAAATGTGTCCCGTGTTACTTTTAACGCTTCTTAATAAGAAATGGTTGTCTGTTTGTGTACATAAAAGAACTCTATAAGTAAAGAAATAACGTTAGATGATTCTTGGCTCCGCAGGTAATGTTTTGGAAGCACATCTGAGCAAAGACTAAATATACCTTGACATCACCAGGCTTTGGTTCTGTTCCACAGGTTTCCACCCTACTTTTGAGCAGCCTCTGTGTACATACTCCAGAGAGCGTGCTTGCAAAACAGTGCTAAGCTTTGTATCCATGTAGATAATGATCACCAACCATTGTAAACACAGAACCTTTATTTTTTCACCTTATTTGCCTTTGTCTGCAAGGCGCATTGTTGGTTGATTAAAGAAAGAAAGAAAGTCTGGAGAGATGGTGCGATGTGTAAAGGGTCCGAGGAAGCTATTTAGGATGCAGCCAGGGATAGAATCTTTAAGAGCGTAGACTGAGTGTCAGCACAACCACTTTTCTTTTCCTGCTCTGCCTCCTCCGAGAGTGTGACCTTGATGAAGTCACTCAGCTTCCAAGCTTCAGTTTCCTCTTCCTTACACCAGGTCTAGTAATTACCACCTCACAGATTTGTTGTGAAGATTTAACTGGATGTTTGTGGCCCCGTGCCTCATTTTTAGGAATGCTCAGTAAATAGTAACTATTATTATTATTAAGGATTGGGGTACTGGCCTTTCGGGTAAGCTCAAAATAACACACCTCTGGAAGGACTTTGCTCTATAATTTCTCTTTATGTTTTTGTGGTCTCGGGAGATCTTCTTTTCATTTTTTGCTTATAACATAAACCAAATTATTTATATAAATTTAAAGAGTAGAACAAAGAAAGTGAGTAGATTGGGAGTTCTAGGGAAAATTGTAACAGAGAAATCTATCCAACGTCTGTCCCTCTAGGAACAAGAGTGGAGAATATCACTTGTTTTTTCTTCTGTTTTCTGGCTCCCCTCCCAGCAGAGTTCTTTCCCGACCACTACTCTGTATCCCACTGATATGTTGCATTCCTCCACGAAGACCCCTGGCATTTTCTCTCAGCCCTTCCCACATTTCTGGCTTTTTTTTTTTTTTTTTTTTTTTAACCTCTCCGTCAGGACGGGGAGCTGTGTCTCTCATTTCTCTTGCTCTGATACTTCTTGCAGTCTCTGACAAGTTGCACAAGTATTAATAATAATTCCTAACCTTTGTGGAATCCTTAACACGTTTTAGCTTCTTTCCCTACTATCTCCTACTTAATCCGTACAACAATTCTGTTGTTATGTTTATCTGATAGATTTAAAAACTGAGGCACAGTGAGCTTAACCCAATTACCCAGTAAGCGGTGGAGCCAGGATTCAAATTTAATTTAGAGAGATTCCCGACTCCAGCTCCTGAGCAGCTAACCACTCTGCCAGGGACTTGAACACACTATTGACTGCGGTGCACAGTGAGAACTACTTTATGTGATTCTGTGTGTGCATGTGCACACACACGGATGCAAATAGTTCACAAAACAATATTATTCTTACTCTGTGCCCTGCACTATGATATTTTCTGTTACATCCATTTTATTCTAGTTCATAGAAAAGATAAAATGATGGTTGTGAGGCACAAAATTGATTTCATGATCCATTGGTTGCACCTGCAGTTTGAGAAACATTGCCCCTCACTGTTGCCCTATTTGGCTGGACTCCTGGTACATGTTAGCACCACGCCAGGAGCTTCGTGTATGTTCCAGCTTCTCACAGCAGCCCTGAAAGGTTAGCCCCATTTTCCAGTAAGGAAACTGAGGCTTGGGGAGATTATTAACTTCCCCAAGTCAGACAGCTAATAAGCAGTAGAATCAGAACTCAAGACTATCTGAATCCAAATATATATATATATTTTTTTAAGTCACTGTTTGTTGAACTGAATGATGTTCTCATTAGATATTTTACCCACTCTTTTCTGCCACCTCACTAGAAAAGGATTCCTCAAAACCCCAACAGAAGAGAATAAATATAGAGCAAAGTCGGAAGATACTTCTCCTAGGGCTGTGTCCCTCATTTGGACAATTTGGTAGTTTTGAAAGACTGAATTGTTTGTGACTTTTCCCAAAAAACTCAAGGCACAGTCAGCGCTAAAAGAAAATCAATTTAGAAACAGGTTTATTCACTTAGGTGTCATGGGCTAGTAAGTGTCAGGAGAAGATACTCAAAATCTTACCTTGCCAGAGCCAAGAGCCCTTTCTCGTTGCAATGTCTGACTGGCTGCAGACATGCAGGAGGTCTGTTGGCCGGGTTACTTGAAGTTACTTGTCCATGCTGTAGAAAGCTTACATCCCTCTTCCCCCAAAATGCGCAGGAAGCAGTGTTGCTTGTGTCTCAACACCTTGATGTAGGGACCCTAGGAAGTTTAGAGCAGACTCTGCTGAGGAGGAGCCCAGCGCTGCTTCCTAGAGTTCCCAGTTTATGTGAACCAGGCCCCCATCATCTTCCCTGGCTCCCTGCTCGCTGTGACCCTGGATGCAGCAGCGAGCTTTCCGTGGTGCTCTCCCTCTTCTAGGCTCATCCCCATCACTCTTGACCCCACCATGAGCTGGTCAGACTTGGGGGGAAATGTAACAGCAGCAAGGACCTGCGTAGGAACAGAGGAAAGGGAGTGGTGACATGTAATCAGGGGCCGGTCCTGGAGGGAACCTTCAAAAACAAAAACTGTATTTTTAAGAATATACTCCTCAATTTGCGTTCAGAGTTTCAGGAATAAGCAAAAAATGAAAGCACTTCCTAAATAATTTCCTTAAACAGAACAGATAGCTGAAATGTATGCTTGCTTCCTTTGTGCTCATGACTCAAAATAGTTAAATACGTTCCTCAAAGAGAACACGAAGATGAGACTATATTCAGGCAATAGCTTGCTTATCTGAAAGGATCTGGAAAAATGGATTTCAAAAGTTCTTTGGATGGATTCTCTACACCCAGAGCCCCTGTCCTATTGGCACGAGGAAAATGTTTTCAACTGAAGAGGGATTCCTTGCAAATTCAGTATGTATGATAGCACCCCAAGGGTTGGCACAGATCAACAGCTGTCATCTTTATCATGATTAAACAGACTCATTTTTTGTACTTAATAGATTTTTTTAATTCAAAGCAAAGGCTCGGTAGTTTTTAAACAGTCCGCTCTGCTCTTTTGGTATTTCCATTCCCTGGGTTTTCTTCAGGAGGTTGAAAAAGATTAACTAGAGCTGTCTCTTTAAGACTTCTTCTTGATTACCTGGTTTTCTTTCCCTTTTTTCCTTGTTGAGAACAAAAGTCAAAGAGAGAAGAGGTGGGTATGCTGTTACTAGCAAAGAAATACAACTGGATTCTAGCCTAATGCAGTCGGCCCTTTGTTTCTGACACTAAAGTCTTCATTAAAGCCCGCGGAACTGCTCCCCGGAGCTCCTGACCTTGTTGTATCGAAAGAGGACTTTACACCACTTAAATTCTTTTTCCTTTGTTGGCGAACAATGTCCTTTTCTTCTGAATATGGATGATGATCGGTTCATTCAGAGGCTACAGGATTAGGAAAAAAAAAAAAAAAGGAAAGCAAGATTTAAAGTGACTTCAGGTGATTCCCTCCTTCTTGAAACAGGGAGATGAGCTGCCCTTAATAAAAGTTCTCAGATTGGAAGTGAAAATGTAGCTCTTAGGACTCGGGGAAGCGGCAGCTACTCTATGTTAGCAGAGGGCCATTTCCTGGATTGGGACTGAAATGATTAGGGTAAAGTGTGCTTTATCTGGCTTGTCTGTAACCACTTGTATGGTATTTGTCTTGGTCCCGGGTTGTTTGGAGTGTTTGAAGGTTAGTGGATAGGGTTTCTTTTTAGGATAATGAGAGGCTTGTCTTCCAGCAGCATATACAAAAGGTCTAGCAAGACAGCAGTTTTCGGTCCTGCCGTTGTGTCGAGGGATTATCAATTTACTACACTAAGTGCTTTGATTCAGAGTGGCCCTTTTTGGGTCACACGCCTAATATGAACTCGTGTTATGTTAGTAACAAAGGAATAATTACTACTGAATATGGCACAAAGGATTAAAAGAAGTATAAACTTTAAACTGTGATGAAAAACAGGTTGAAACTAACGCTCCATTTAAAAACATTACCTTGAACAAGAATATTTGTTTTCCTGACTGTACCAAGCCACTAACTCTTATTAAATGGGGTTTAATTGTGTACCTTCAGAAAAAATGTACTTGGGCTAATAAATTTAGTATATATTTACATGAAGTTTGTGTGTCCTCTCATAAATCTCTACACCGAAATATTCTACTTGCAAACATTTTTACAACACTTATTTATAAGATTAGTTTATTAACTTCATTGCTTAGAGATTGGTACTTTAAATAATATCTATCAGAAATGATAATTAATTTGACCCTTATCTGCTCCTGCAGTATGTGTCTACTGTGAGCACTTTTATTACCTTTTGAAGATAATATAATGGTTTCTTATTTGGCAAGTGGATGAAAGCAGAATGAGTAGAAACCAAAATGCACACCATGCATAAAACACATTGGCACATTAAAGCAGACATTGTCAACAAATTGCCTGCTGGCTTTAAAGAAAAATATAGCTTCAATCACTTAATGTTTTCAGAAGTCATTCTTTTCATTCAACAAGTTTTGATTGAAATTTTTCTCATTTTGAAATATATATTTGGCATGTCATAAAGAGAAATATTCGTATTTAATAAACTATTTTCTTCCATCTAATGCGGCTTAAATAAACCTGAATAGTTGCCCAATATAGCCTTTCAGATTGACAGTATAGATTTAAGTCGGGACAGTTATTACAGTGGGAAATGCTTACACTTAATTTTTTCGTGTTTGTGACAATCAGCAGTGATTTGGTGATAATTAGCAGAACCTCCTTCAGGCCCTCAGCTTATGTGAGGCCTGTGTTAAAGCTCGGCATAAAGCAGCTGCAGGAGTCACTCAGTGAGCAGCTCCTCTTTCTGCAGAGAATCCCACTTTAGTCCCTCACTCTGGAGGGATTCGTCCATTCGAGTTTCCTAAAGAGAAGAGGTCCTGATTATGAAGTAGGTGATTGATCTTTGAATGTGTGTCCTTGTTCTCTCGAACCACCAAAACCACCATTCCCAAACGTGCTAAATCTGTGAGCCTTTTCATCGCTTAACCAAGAAAGAAAGGTCGGCCTTTAAAAACAAAGCAATTTTTATGTAGATTAGCTTAGGTACCGCCTCTCTAGAGGGTACATTGAAAACGAGGTGAACACTTTCTCAAACCCTAGATGACTTGGTGCGTAAGAATTTGCTCCATGAGAGGAACCTGAGGGAAAAAATGTTCAGGTCATATAAGCCATGATGGGCAAGCAAACATTCCTGTCATTAATATAAGCAGAGACCACCTCTCACTTCTCCCAGTGGGTTCAAAGCTGATTGTTGCACCTGTCCTCTGTCAGTTCGTTTACCTCCTCGGACATCAATCTTCAGAGAGTCCCTCAGTTTTAGCCCCGGGGTAGAACACTGCCCGTAGTAGAGCCTTGGATGGAAGATAGGGGGAGAGTCAGAGGAGAGTGAGGAATAATGGGGACCAGCCTCCCCTCACCTGGCCACATCATTTCTGTAAATCTCGTGAAAACAACTAAAGGAAGAGAAATCTCCTAGCTTGTTGGCCATCTTAGAGTTGATAATTACAAAGAATAAGATAAGTTTTTTATTAAATCTGAAGCAGAGTGATGCCCTGAAAAGGAACTCTTACCGTTGCTTAGATGATTGTTCAGTCTTTGATCCTAAATTTAGTAGTTTAAGGGAGACCTTAAATTTGGGTCTTGGGATTATTGAGTGCAGTTCAATAACCATTTTGAAACATCGGATGAGCAGTGATTTTTCACTATTTTGGGGGCATATTGGCCGCTTAACTTCATGCAAATAAAGCACCGTTTTAAATTTTTTTTTTAACTTTGGATTTTGCTTAGCGATACATATTTTTTAATGGCACACCATGTGTCTTCTGCATCCATATCTCCCTCCCCAGTCTTAAAACTGAGACAATAGGGAAAGAAGGTATGGGAGGCTCTTTGAGTGTCATTCTTCTTCATGACTAGAGGAAAGAAAAATCTTCTTCCTGATCTCTCTTCTTAGGCTTTTGAGAAGTGAGGAGGCATCGTCTGTCCCTAAGACCAGGTGAGATTTGAGGCTGGTGATTCCCTTGAGCAGTTCTCGGGCACTTGTGGAAGAGTCAAATATTTTGTTCCCGCTTCTGTGCATCTCATTGTTCTACCACCTTCATTGAAAGTAGCCTGTTGGGCTCTTCTCTGCTGCCTATATGCTTGCAGCCTGGGTTATTAGAGCTTTCCAGAAGAAAACTTAAATGGCCTATATAAGCATATGTACAAGATTCTCTCTTGAAACCGAGAAAGGCATATATTTCAAGGGTAATTTAATTATGGCTCCTCCTGAAGCAGATGAATAGGAAGAGCTATTTAAATTAAAATAATTTCATTATGACACACGTCACAATGGGTTTCAGGTTATCCTGCCCTTGCAGTTAATTAACGAGGTTCTTTGAGGTTTGTAATCCTGATGCACAGACAAGATAACATAGGGATTAGATGATGCAAAATCAGAGGCAATCTCTTCATGATTAGAGGTGCCACTGGCCCCATTAGTTTACATCGTCTTTGGACAACAAAACAGGATGTCCCATTCGCACATGTAGAGAGATTCCCAATTCCAGAAGACTGTTTTGCCAACGGAAAAAATCCTAGTTTATTTTCAGTGCAAATGTACAAATATTTAACAATTTTGCTTTGAGGCATAAGCTTTAATCATGCTATAGGCATTTTCCAATATCACACCAGGATTCACAATTAATTTATATGGCTCTCTCCTTAAATAATTATATCATTGTTTTTCTGGTTAAGCAGATATTTCCAGGCAAGCATTTTTATAAGCCAAATCTTCCTTTTTTCCTTCAGTTTCTTCATAGGATGACACACTTCAATAGTTTCTTTTTTAGTATTCAATCATTCCAAAGATATTTTGGAGTGCATTTTGTACGATGGAAAATTCATAGAGATAATTGTTTTGTAAACAGGTATTTGCAGCCTTATAATTAATGATTATAGTGATTTTTTAAAAAAATTCTGTTCTGGAATAAAATGAAAAGAGGCTACGGTAATAACATTCACTATTTTGGGTATTTAGGAACCTGTTTTATTCACTGGAACAATGAGGAAAAATCTGGATCCCTTTAATGAACATACAGATGAGGAACTATGGGATGCCTTAAAAGAGGTAATTTATAAAATGTAATTATCTAACTTGTTAGCAGTATATGTATATTTTTGTTTATAACATTGAAGGTAATTAAAGGGAACTTAATGATTTAACTGACTTTGTTCACTACCCAGGAGAGCATTGATGACATGGATATACTTAAAATGTGTATATTGATGATGATGAAATCCAAAAATAAAATGTCTCATGGTTTCATTTTAACTTTGTTCCTAGAATCCAAAACAAGTAGATACGTTATTTACTTGTCCTTAGCAGAACACTAAACTAGAAGTTATATTTACGCGTTCAAATTCTGCTAGTGACCTAGTGACTGGTTACCCTGCAACTTTCATTTTACTTCTCTGTTCTTAGGAAATGCACTAAATGGAGACAATAATAGTTTTTCATTATTAACTAAAAGATAAACGAGATCACACTTGTAAAATGCCTTGAAGTTTTATAAGAGAGTGTTTATAAACATAAATTATACAGTTAGAATGTAATAATAATTATTTATTGGCAAACATGTCATTTTAATGCCAGGTAACAGAAACCTGGAGCTTTTGTAAGTTTTTATGCTGATATTCATTCTAGAGGATTTGCTATTATTTGTGTAGTGCTTCCCTTTGGACCACTTCTTTGAATTTCTTCGCCCTTGCATAAAAAGGATTTTGACTATTAAGGTGCTGTTGGTTTGTGTATTTTAATACTAATTATTTTGTGTACTCACTCTAGTTCTGCAAATTGACTCTAAGCTACTGAGTGGCAGAAACCTCATCTAGACTTCTAAACCATAGACAGACTTCTAATCCCTCATAGGACCTAGCTCAGTCTTTTGCTTTTAAAAAGTCAGCACTTAATAAACGTATACTGAATGTTTGGTGGATCTCTTCATTTCAGAGAAGAGTGGCTTATTTCTTTAAAAAAAAAAAAAAAGGCACAAATCCCAGTGACCGGTTGCTCACATCGTTGTTATTTTGAATTAGAGTGTTTGTCATTTAGTGTCATCCTTCCAGGGATAGCTCTGAAATCTTGAACTTGTAGATGAGCTTTGACTGTGAGCAAGCCAAGTGGGAGGCCTGACGGTTTCCTGCCAGTAATTCTGGTTTCTGAAGGCATGTTGGTGCTGAGCCCTTACACACCCACCCTGCTTTCCAACAACTGTGGGGATTTTATTTTCCTAAATCAAGTGGATTACTTTACCTTTTCCTCCTTTAAAAGCGATTGACCTCGGATTTCGCTTAAGTTTGTGAGTCTTTGCAGAGTGAAATTTAGAAGAGGCGGGAAGACAGTTAAGCATCAAATATAAAGAAAGATAGGATGATCCACTGCTCTTGAACTCACAGGACAAATTTAATGGCGAAATTGTGACACACCTTAAAAAAACAGGAATTACTTACTGGTAAATTATTTTTCTGTTTCTTTCAGAGCTTGAGCCCTCTCTTCACAGATTCTCAGTAAAATTACTGTAGAAATACATTGTTCCATGGGCAGTGAAGAACTGTTAATTGAGAGACAAATCCTATCAAAAACTATCTTAGAACTTGGCCATAACTCATACTTATTTCATCTGTAGGAGCCAAAATTAAAATAAAATTTATTAACCTCTCAATTCTAAAAATGGTGAGGTGGAGGAAGTGTGGTAGATGATACTAAAATCTATCTTTATTTCTACTACGTTTGTAACTTTCTATAAATAGAAATGGGAATTTATTTCACCACGTGGAGGCAGTGGTTTCTGTATATTGCTCCTGGAACTGACCTCGTTGCTCTGGTGCTTCCTCTTGGAGTGAGAAATCATCCCGTCATCGTGTTTCTCTAGGAATTATTTCTTTATGACTTTTGTATGTTTTTCAGTGAAAGATTTGGTATCCTAAGTTTTAGAAAACCTACCAAGTCTTTCATTGAAAAGCATGTAAAGCAGTGAGGCCAATTTTCAGGTGGACTAAAAACCCTAGGCAGCTGGTTTATAAATGGTACCAAACTGGAAATGGAAACCCACACTCATAGAATTGGCTTGAGAGTCGGTAAGAGGTCACTATGTTTTCCTCTTTAAGAACTTAAAGGAAAAGGTACTTTTTTGGTTTGTTTGTTTTTAAGTTCTCTTAGTTTTCTCTCCTCCTTCTCCCTTGGATGAGTTAGACATTCAGAAGGGAGACAGTCCTATGGACGTTGCCCATCTCATCTTAGTTATTTTTTTTTTAATTAATTAATTTTTTTTTTGCTGAGGAAGATTAGCCCTGAGCTGACATCTCTGCCAGTCTTCCTCCACTTTATGTGTGGGTCAGTGCCACAGCATGGCTGATGAGTGGTGTGGGTCCTTACCCGGGATCTGAACCTGTGAACCTGGGTTGGTGAAGCAGAGCACGCTGAATTCAACCACTATGCCATGGAGCTGACCCCTTGGTTCTTTTTTCATATACTGAAACATGGTCAGCTATAAACTGAAGAAAGTCTGTTAGAAATTAATGCCAGTTGGGGCGCCTACAATGCAGCAGCAGCAGCTCTATGAATATAACATCAGTACTGACTAGAGATGAAGCTTTTATCAGTAAAAGGTCAAAAGATCCAGGTAGATAAAACTCTGAAAATGAATCAGCGGTGTGTTGCTTCTGTTTAAAAAACAAAACAAAACAGCTTTAATACTGGGGTATACAATTAAGAGTGTGGTATGTCATGCTAAGGCTAAACCCCAATACCATGTTTCATCCTGACTCAGAATTCCTATTTCCTAGGATTAGACTTCCATCATGCGCACAATTCAAGATCACTTGCATAGAAGTGCTTCAGGATTCAGGACACCCTGAAAACGTTGTCCACTTAGTTTTGGTGTTTTGTTATTTGACATTGTAATTCTTTGTCCCTCCTTACCTGGCCATCACTCATCAGTCTGTTAACTCTTAATGTGAAGTGTATTTACTCTCCGTTCCTCTGTAGCTTTCAAGTACAGCCTGAGTCTGGTTCTTGCTCTATAAACTTTCTCCAAAACAAGTATTCATTGAACTGAACTACTAACCACTGTAGTTGCAGATTAACTTTCGCAGTTAACAGTTTTTTTTTTCATTTATAATTACACTTTTATGAAGATAGATTGATATAAACACCATCTATCCCCATAGTCTTGGGGAAATAAGATGTTATGTTGCCCTGTTTTTCATTGAGGATTGAAGTAAACGTACTTGACTGGCCTGGCAGTATGGGATTGAACTTGGGGAAGAACCATTCCCAAAATAGGCTCTGTGTTTACTAACATATGAGGTGCAGTTTGCAAATGTGTGAGTTTGTATTTTTTTTAAACTTTAAAACCTTTCAAAATGGTAAAGTGTTGATAAGATTGTATCTTTAGAGAAATAGACTTCCTGCGGTAATTCTTTTGAAAATTTTCCCTTTAGTGTATTAACTCCTATACTAAATGTACTTTCGGAAACTTGACTTAGCCATAAAGATCTTTTTAACTTTTCTCTTTAGACTATATTGAGAGAAGTAGCTTCATTTTTTGAGAGACTTCCTTAACTAATTCCTGGAAGGGGTTCCTGGTGGAAGTCATGTGACAAGGATGAGGGACACTAAGCTGATTTCTTTTCGCCAGCTTTCTTGAAGTATAATTTACATACCAGAAAATTTCCCCATTGTAAGTGTGATTCAGTGACTTTGGTAAATTTATAGTTAGACAGTCATCATGACAATCCAGTTTTAGAACATTGCTATCACTCCAAAAAGCTCTCTTGTGTCCATTTACAGTTAACCCTCCAGCCCCTGGGCAACCACTATTCTCCTTTTTATCTCTATAAATTCCTGCAGTTAGCTTTTAACTAAAAATTAAGGAAAAGCATTTTTAGTTTTTCTATATTTTGCCTTGAGAATCATTTTATTTAGCATACTGCATATTTCTGAATGAAATTGGCATGCTGTGGACAGACTGTGCCTACTGATGGCCACAGTGAAGAGTCTTGACTCCCATTAAATTTGTGCTCTTAAGTTAGAGTATTTCTCTCCTGAGTTAACTCAACGGTCTTTCTCAGTGAACCTTAATTGGAAGTAACTCTCCCCATCACATCGCCACACATATAAGATACATGAGAAGTCCTGAGGGCTTCAAACTCCAATGTCTAGGAGGCTTGTCTGCTTCAGTATTAGTTCATTTAGGAAAAGGTCATTTTTCTTCTTACATCCACAGGTACAACTTAAAGAAGCCGTGGAAGATCTTCCTGGTAAAATGGATACTGAATTAGCAGAAGCAGGATCGAACTTTAGTGTGGGACAGAGACAGTTGGTGTGCCTTGCCAGGGCTATTCTCAGGAAAAATCGGATATTGATAATTGACGAAGCGACAGCAAATGTAGATCTAAGGTACGGAGCTGAGGTCCATGTAACCTGGAATATGAATTTTTAATGTGATGAATGGGAAACATTTAATGATGCTGAGAAATTTTTCTAAGTGCTGTCTTTGCCCAAAAGATCTCTCTTAATAATCTCTTTAATTCTGGAAATCAGAGGAGGAAACCAAAACATGTTATATGGTGTTAATGATATTGTTAGGCATCCTAAGAGAGCTAGATTCCCAAATTCAACTCCTGATAGTTTCAAGCAGTTTGGAGGGAAGAGTATTTTCTGTTGTCTTATGAAAAATGATTTTTGTAAGTAGACTTTTTGTGCTTAGTTTTTAAAGAACAAAATCATGCTTAAAGTATTGATTTTTAAAAACATTATAAAAATATCATATGATTTTTTTAAGTCTTGTCCGTCTTTCCTGAACTAAATTCGACTTCTTTGATTCCAGAACTGATGAGTTAATACAGAAAAAAATCCGTGAGAAATTTGCTCATTGCACTGTGCTAACCATCGCGCACAGGTTGAACACGATTATTGACAGCGACAAGATTATGGTAAGACTCTCACCTCCAGAATTGTAGTTGTTTATGTTCAATTTTTCAATTTATCCTTTCTTGTTAAACTTGATAGAGAGGGGCCGGCCCCGTGGCCAAGTGGTTAAGTTCGCGCGCTCTGCTTTGGCTCCCTGAGGTTTCACTGGTTCAGATCCTGGGCACGGACATGGCACCGGTCGTCAGGCCATGCTGAGGCAATGTCCCACATAGCACAACCAGAGGCACTCACAACTAGAATAGACAACTATGTACTGGGGGGTTTGGGAAGAAGAAGAAGAAAAAAAAAAGATTGGCAACAGTTGTTAGCTCAGGTGCCAATCTTTAAAAAAAAACTTGATAGAAAGCTCCAATAAGTTAATTTTCTGTTAATTTTTCCTCTCATTCCTGACAATAATTCAAGTGCTTTACTACACATTCGGAATATGCTATTAAATAATATATCTAGTAATTTTACATTTTCATATTAAACTTATTTGAATTGTCATTTTTCTTTAAGATGGCCAACCATCAAAATATTTCAAATCCAAGATATGGCCTCGTATTACAGATTGGTAGAATGCAGTCATTTTTGCTGTGTCACAGTTGTGGCAGCATTTTGGATTCCTTTAATCAAAAAATTAGCCTTTTGTTTAGACTGCCAGGAGGTTGTTGGGTAAGGTTGCAGAATTTCTCAGCTGTTGGGACGTTCATAAGACATGCTGTCAGATTGGAATCTATGAGGAGAAAGGGCCTAGTCAGAAAATAAAGTATTTCAACGGAAAGGATTTAATATAGGACATTTGTTACATAGTAATTGGAGGGCTGGAAGATTGAAAGGAAACACTGAGGTGATAATTTTAGGAAACAACTACCATGCCCTAGACAGATCTCCAGGCCTAGGAACTAGAGGAGAGGCCCTAAAGAGTGTACTTAGACCTCCAAGGACGGGCCACTGCCCAGCTGCTGGTCCTATTTGTGAAGCTGGTTCTCAATGTGTTACTAAAAGACGGAGGCTGGATCCAGGTCCCACTGCTGGGGTGATGCTCGAAGGAGTAGCACAAACCAGGCAGACACTTGCTTTGCATTGCACCTTCAGTCTTCCTTCTAGTGCCTGCTACTGGCAGAACCTAACAAAGAGCCAATTGGCCAAAGAACCTCTGAAATGTGGTTTGCAGCCCTAGTGTCACAGACGAAAGTGTAGAAAGAAAGATAGATTGAGGCTGAGAGACTAGATAAACAACCAGCAAGTCTTACACAGTAGATCCGGGCACTGCACACATGGCCGGCCCCAAGCTTTGGTCTCTAGATTTAGTATCTAGTATCTTCCTTCCAGGTTTGATTGGCTCTTTCTTCTGTAATAATTCAGTCTTTCCTTATCTTTATTTCCTTCCTCTCTCCCTCCCTTCCTCTCTTTCTTCTTCTCTCGTTTTCTCCTTTCCATCTATTGCTTGCTCAGTTTCAGTAAATCGTAGGATGTAGCTATACAAAATGAAAAGGAAATCATCCCTTAAAGGAAAAACCTTTGGCTGCAGATAAGCCCAAACATGGGAGTTATTTTCAGGCTAACCCCAAGCCTGTGGCAGTGGACAGATTTTCATACATCTTGTGGACGCCAGCTGTTGTCATTAGATACCACAGTATCCGGTGATACTCTAGTGATGAAGAAGGAAATAGATAAAGAAGGCCTGTGTAGTACATGAGAAGCAACAGATGGAGTTAACCAGATTTTTATGGTCTATACTAATCGAGGTTAAATGATCAGTAATAAAACGATCATTAATATCCATACTTCCTTATGGCCAGTGATAGTGGAGCTGTCTCTTGACTTCTTGGGCATTTTCTGGAATATTACTTCCCACCCTTCTTCACATGCATTGTTGGATGTAATAATCAGTGGGGGCATTGAGAAGATACCAGACTGTCAGCACTGAAGCAGTGCCTTTGGCCTTGTCACTCTCCAGAGCTGGACGTGTAGAGAAATGAGCTCTGGCGAGGTAGACAGCAGGAGTGGGGCCTTCCTAACCAAAAGGATGTTTTGAGCCTTAAGCAGTGCAGCTGGTCATCTGGATTAGAACGTCATAGCAGGAAGCAGACCACTCCAGTAGGCCTTTGTGAGTGACCATGTGACATTCCAAGACTGCAAGACAGTGACTCTTAGATTCCAGAAACAGTGTTTATCATTGAGCATCCTTAGTCATTCATTTTGTGTTCTTGAATGATGATTGGAGAAATAACTTTTCATTTCTACTTTTTACCTGTCACTTTGTTGTTCTCATCTCTCAGCGTTGGTTTTCTCAGACTGTCCCCAAAAGTATTCTTTTTCAACAATGAATGAGTGATGCTGTGAAGTGTACCTGTTTCAGGTACTTTGTCAGGCTTTAGATGCAGCGGCAGAAAGATGGCTTGATCTCTGGCTCAGTTGGGGACCCATTCAAATGAAACCTTTGCTCCTAGATGTACCATATACATTTATTTTTGGGTTTTGGTAGTACAACATTGATGGTAGCAGCTTCCTTTTATTATAGAATACTTAGAAATACTGTCACTTGGGAACATATGGTTGGTTAGGGTAACAGCAGGAAGGACAGAATTTGGCAGACTTACCAGATGGCCACTCCTAAATCTTATCCATCAGCACTTGACCCACAGGCATGAATGTTTGTATCCCCTTAACCAGTCAGCTTTGTTGCCATTATCTAAATATGTCCCGTTGTTGAATGGTTTACTTACCAACATCTGTGGTAAATTTCAAGAACCTCAAATTTTTCTCTCTTGATCGATATCTTTGTCCGAATCCTTAACTTGGTTTTACAAAGTACTTACAGTCAAGCCCCTCCCTCCCTCTCTAGGCTTGTCCCACTCTGCTCTCCCTCTTTCCTTTGTGGTTAAAACCATGTTGATCGTCGTTCAGTTCTTCAGATGCAGCATTCACTCTCACTCTTAGAATTGTATCCTCTCTCATGACCGGTTGTTGGTGGCTTAGACTAAAGTGCTTGCAATGGAGGTGATGAGATGTTGGATTTGGGATAGAGAATGCAGTAGAGTCAAGTGAGCTGTGTGATGGATTGAATGTGGGATACGAGGGGAGAGATGGGAGTTGCTGCTGGTTTCTAGGTATGGGGCCTGAGCATCTGGGTAAGTGAGGAACACTGAGGGAGAAGTCAGTTTGGAGAAGGCAAATGCAAGAATTCTCTTGAGAGCATGTTACCTCTGTGTTGGCTGACCTTGTTGTCTGTGGTGGACCTTGCGTTTTACCATGGAGCTGCCCTTCCCACTCCCAGCACCAGTGTTGAGAGACCTTTCATTTAGGGCTCACTGGCCAAGAGTTCATCAGTGATGTCACAGGAGGTCCCACCAGGAGATGTCAGCTTGGCCGCTTGTTTACATCCTGGTCAGAGCTGGTTTCTGTTGCATTCCCTTTGGTAAGGAATGGTAGGATTAGACTTCTGGGGACCCAAGAGGCATGCACTCCCTAGCTTCAGAGTTGGGCACTTGTCCTCTATACTCCACCACCCCAAGTTTCAGGCTTATATTTTAGTCTAGAGCTTCTGGTTACCAGTTGGTTTTCAATTCGACAGAACACCATAAATAATATTCTTTCTCAAACCTGTGATTTTTGAAGCAATTTTTGTTTTCTTGCTTGCTTTAGAAATACCTGTTTCCTTTCCAGAAAGCAAGCAATTGTCTGTTCTGTTATTCTGAGAGCTTTAAGGACATAAAGACAAGTCAATCAGCTGCAAAGCCTAATGCTCCAGAGGGCAGGCGGCCAGCCTTGGGGAGTGGCTGGGGAAGTGACGGATGCTAATGAAGGGCATAACCAACAGTGTTGTCATCATAAAGTCGCGTAATTGCAAGTGCTTAAGGTGTAATAATTACATTTTGTTGCACTGGTGAATACTTCTGCACAAAGACAGATGGATATGGTTTTGTTTACTGTAAGTAAATCAGACAAAAGGCTTGTTGGAAAACAACTGTGACCTAATTAATAGCTTTGCTTATGTGTTGGCTTTCCAAAGGGATTTACCCAGTTTTGGTTCATTAAGCACCATTAATGTGTTAGGCTTAGAATTCTATTTTACAAAGATGTTCTCTCAATTTTAACTTTATTAAACATGATGTAGTCATAATGACAGCTAATTTAATCTTCCTCATTTGCTCAGTTGCCACAAAACAGTGGAGCAAGACAGACAAATTAGAAATCCTCTTTCTCCTAATACTCACCACTATCTCTACATTAAAGACAGCTTCTTCCTTGTAGTTTTTAGGATTAGCTGGTTACTCGAGACCTGTTTTCTCTTCAACCAATAGGACAGCTTTTTCCTCCAATCCCTGCACACCACAGTCCTTACAACACCCATGGATTCCCCCTAGGAGCGTGAGCAAAGGAAGAACATGAAAATCGGTAGCTGTTCTAACAATATTGTTATCTGTATTCAACGTTTTCACTGTCAGCATTAGGTAATTCTTTGGGAATGAATTATGGAGGCCCAAAACCAAGGCTAAGAAACTCAGTTGCCACCTCTTCTGTTTATAGGCAATCCTACGGTTTTATCTTCTTCACCTTTCTCCCTAAACACAAACCTCTTTTTAATAGAGTTTTTCCCAGAGAAATCAAAACTAGAAACTCTTGTGACATACCCACCTGGAAGAACATAAAACAACTCAGAGCTAACTAGAGTTTTATTTAAATTCTATTTTTCATCTTCATGCAACTTTTCTTTAATACATGGCCACAATTAGAACATTTCAGAAGAGAAAAAAGCTCCTTTCGAAATAGGCCAAGAGATTTCATTCAAGTTTTCGGAGGGAAAAATAACTAATATGAAGGTAGAAGGCGTCCACTGGGAGAAGTACTTTATGAGAGGGGGGATACAAGCAATCGCTGGGGCTTTGGGGAATAGCTGTGGAGGTCACCTTGACCCGGCTGAGAAGAATCATTTGCCATTTCAAGATCTAAGGAAGAATTTTGAGTAATACTTCCCACAGAGAAAATCACAGGCACCCATTTTACCAACGAGGGACCCCACTTCCGAGGATTGAGAACTGTCCCTGTGCCCCCTCATCACCTGGCAGCCGAAAGCAGACGTCTGACTCTCAGATCCTCTCCTCCCCGCTCGATTTGTCACCAAGTGGGATCTCCCTTTATTGCATGTCTCCATGTTGAAAGCTGTTCCGAACATCTCTTGTCCTGTCGTCAGGCTTTCCTCCGCCCTGCCCTGCCCCTCACCTCTCCCTGTAGTCACCCCACTATCACGGATGGCACCCTGCCAATTAAAATGAATTAAATTATTTTGCAATGGCTTCATTTAGTTTTTATATCTAGGACAGCTCCCTGGAGTATCTGCAGATGCACAGGCCCGATACACACATCTTCCTTGAGCTTATGTAACTGACTGACTCATCCAACATAATGTATTTTTCCCTAACCCACTAGAGAGCTACAGCCGATTTGAGGTTGGCGTTCCTGGAGAGATCCTGGTCCCAGGGATTGCTGTCACACTGACTTGAATGTGTGGTTTAGGTTGTAGTTTGAGTTGGGTTACGGGAAGAGTGGGGACACAGCGGGAGACTTCAGGAGCCGTTTCTTATGGATATAAAAATTCAAAATTATACTTGTTTTTCTGTGCAAAAAGGAAATTCAGAGTTGCTTTATGTTTACTTATTCTGAGAACTGTAGAATCTTTGAGGAAACCAGTAAATGTAAAGGCTGCGTGGGTAAAATTCTGTCCGTGGCCTGATTTCCGGCTGTATCCCAACACAGTTGGTGAATCTCCTGACCTTAGTCTGCACTGCACCCTTGCTCCTCCCAACCCTCCCTCCTCTCTGACTGTGCCTTCTCTTCTTTTTCTTTTCCAATATTTGGTGTAAATGAGTTTCAAGCCTCCACCTTCAACCCTGGTCTCTCTCTCCCTCACTTTTCCTCCCCTTCTTGCCCGTAGCCATCAGCCTGAAGCATGTAGTCCCCCAAGTGTACATCCACAATCCTATAACCCCTGTATCCTGCTGCCTTAGCATTTCCCAGTGCTGGCTAGACTCTTTCCCCCCTTGATCTCACCCTGCAGTCTTGCCAAACCACACCACTGGGCAGTTACCCACTCATGCCCTGAATTTACTTGCCTTTGTATTTAACTTGCAACCAGCAAATATTGTGTGCCTGTTTCTTCTCATATACAAGACCAGGGCCTGGAGATGCTGCAGTGAACAAGGGAAACCACATAACCTTCCCATAAGTAGTTGACAGGCTCGCCTCCAGCCTTCTTGTCCCATGCTGTTCCCTATGTCTGGAATGACCACTGTCCACCACCACCCCCCCCCCCCCCCAACCATTTCTGCCTGTCCAAGTCTATCCATTTTTCAAGGCTCAGTTCACTGCTCTCTCTCCTTCTGGAAGCTTGTCCTCAGAACCTCTGGCCACATGTCATTTTTTCTGCTGTTAGCCTCTTTTTTGTTTGCTTTTCTTCTTGCATTATAGACACTTGAGGATTTTCTCCTCTCTTTTTTTTCAATATAGTCTCCCTAAAAGCAGGGGTTGTAGCTTACATATCTTTGCCTCTTCCACAGCATCTAGCATAATGACATGAGTGCAGTTAAGTAGGTAGTAAATGTTTGCGGAATAAATTCAGGAATTAATGAGAGTTTACTTAAATTTTCTCCAAATGTGCTTTGGCCATGTATTACTTACTCTTTTAAATCCTGATAGTTTAATAAAATTGATTTTCTTTTTCTGTGAGTATATACCAGCCACACAGTAAATAATTTGAGCCCCGAACATAGTAAAGTTGCAATGGAAAGTGGACAGGGGAAATGTTAATGTTTATAGGCATATTTTCTTAACTTATACAGAGGTAATATACTATCCATATGGGAAGGTATCTTAGAAAATTGAATGTTAAAATTCTCATCTCCCTTATTTAACTTCTGATAATAAATAATCTAACAGTGTAATTCTCTGGGAACTCACATGGAGAGGAAAGAATATAGGTTCAGACCTGGGTTCAAATCCTAACTCTGCCATCTACAGATTCTGCAGCCTTGGTCAAGTTATTTAATTTAACTGCACTTCTGTCTTCATCTCTGGCCGTGAGCGTCTTGACAGACTGTGCCTTGCTCATCTTTGAATCTCCGGTTCCTAGAACAGTGCTTTGGTAATAGGTACTCACTTAATATTTGATGGATGGATGGATTGATGGGAGGATGGAAGAAATGATAGAGGAATGAAAGGATGGGTGGATCGATAGATGAATGGGTAGGTGGGTGGATGGTGGGTGGGTGGGTAGATGGATGGAAATTATTTACCGTGTTTGTCTACTCTATCTTGAGAATTAACAGTGATAACTGTAAAGCATGTGGCACAGTGAGTGCTCAACCCCCAACGATTTTTATTTTCCTCTTCAAATTCAAAAGACTGCTAGTTATGGGATGAGTGTATTGATCTTAAAGTAGCCATATTCTTTGTTACACTGCATTTATATACCAGGGCATCCCATCTCTCAAACCTTGTGAATTCTTCTATTTGGGGCTATACTAATGCAGTTCATTTGAAAATACTATATTTTGTTTTAATGCATATCAAAAGAGCATTAAAGAGGTATATTTATTTTTACATTTTTAAAGTATTATCTTACAGAAGTTAAAATTTAGCTTTTAATAAATTATCAGGCATTATAGCAAATTACCACAGTTCTATCATTCCCCCCCCCAATTGAAAACTCCCCTTATAAAAGATAATGCACAGCCACTAGGTTGCTAAGAGTTACAAGGCTCAAAAACTTTGGCCAAAATGATCTTTCTGTCATTTACATTGTTAATCCTGTTGCTTTTTGAGAGTATTCTGGGGTTTTTTTCTGGTTCTGCCTTTTTAGATACAGGTCAGTTCTGAGAACTATTCATCTCAGTGGCAGGCATGTGTTTTCAGACAATATGAGAGAAAATGGAAAGATTTACTATTCACTAAAATTTTAATAAATAAAGTAGAAAGTTGGACAAGGACAAAATATTAGTAATACTTTGCTTTCATTAAAAATTATATAAAGTCTTTTTAGTCAGAGAACTCATTTTCCACCAACTCTGAAGTGGTGATTTTTAAAAGTTTACTTGTTGGTTTTGCAGAAGATAAAGTTCTTCATTGTATGAAGTAATTTGATTCACTTATTTACTTAGTCTTTGGCATGAGAGAGACCTGTATTTTAAAATTGCATTTTTTCTTCTTCTTCCACGTCAGGAGGAGTGGTTGTGGCCTGTAATGCCGTGCTTAAGTAAAATTACACATTCGGGGCATCTAAATTGGCATGCCAAATTATAGGACATTTTAATTATTATGTGGATGTGACAGATTCAATTATTCTTGAACTCTTTTGAGAAAGCTGCCCTGAGCAGTGATTCACAGTAGTAAACAAAAGATTAACAGGAAAATGCCCTTTATGAGACTTAATAAATGTTTCCGATTAGATACCATGGGACAGAATTAACTGCCCTGCCTAGATGTGAAAAAACAACCTGAGTGTTGCTTAGCGTTTCAGCATATTCTCTTAAGATAAATTCACTCTAAATATGGCCTAAATGAAGAACTAAGTACCACTTAACATCAGAACTGTTTTCCTAGGTATGTCATTTGGGCCAATTGTTTCAGACGCTTTCTTCCCTCTAAAACCATTAGCAAAAGCCCCTAATAAGTAGCAATGCAGAGTTAAGAGCCCCTTCTTCTCCCTTTCAATTTCCAGCGGACGTATTAATGAGCAGTAAAATGGCTGAAAGGCAGGCAGCTGAAGAAAGAGAAAAGAAGAAGCAGGGAAAGATAATTGTGAAAACGGATACTCAGATCCTCGGCAATTCAGATCAGGCTGCCCCCGCGTGCTTTGCGGGCTGTGATCACTGGAATTTGGAGCTCAATTTCTTAATTGCTTCTTTAGTCTTATCCAAAAAGAAAATTGGATTTCTGGAGATTTCTTCTGTGCAGAGCAATTATGCTAAAGCTGCTTAGGTAGCAGCTCTTTTAGCCAGCCTTTCACTCTCCGAATAATAAACCACAACCAAAGCCAACTGCACGAAACACCTTAACCTCAGCAACAAGGGTTTTGTCCCCTCTTACCAGCTGACATGTTCCGGGACCCTAAAGAAATTCCAGAAGCATTTCCTTCTTTTCCCAGCATTGCTCAGATTCTGTCAAACCAGCTCGGCAATTAATTTGCTGTCAGGTCACTGCCCTCTGGTTTGTATGCCACCACCCTACTTTTTAGATAAATTGAGTTTGATTTTCTTAAACCAAGAAATTTCCCAACTCTAAATGTACGTATAAATAGCCCTCAAAGCTCAGAGTCTGAGAGCTAAAAGCACTAACTAATGATAACAACCCAAAATGCCCTTGGCAGATAGAAAATGCCACGGGACTGCTGAGTGCCCATAATCAGAGTCTAAAACTTTCATTTTCTTCCTTTCCTATAACATTATAATAATAAAAGGTCGGGTTAGGCCTTTGTCTGCCTAGTAAAACAGGGTAATCAAACCATTTAAACACCAGCCAGACCTACCACCCAAATAGATTCTCTCTATTCTCCCTCGGCTGCCTCTTTCCGAAATATTGTCTCAGTTATAATATGTTGCTGTGAAACATTGTGTGCTAATGGGTTTCTTTCTGCTGATTAACAGGTTTTGGATTCAGGAAGGCTGAAAGAATATGATGAGCCCTATGTTTTGCTGCAAAATAGAGATAGCCTATTTTACAAGATGGTGCAACAACTGGGCAAGGCAGAAGCTGCTGCCCTCACTGAAACAGCAAAACAGGTGAGTGGGCCTCGAGGAGTTGTAATTAAAGTTCGTCTCCACCGTTCACTCCTCGCAATCTGGCACCAGGGGTACGGTAACGAGCACTCTGTGCCCTTTTCAATTATAAGTCTCCGGAGATGAAGCTTCATGACTGGGTCTTAACACGTCCCATGTTGAAGTCAGGTCTGCTGAGAATCGGCAGAAGCGGTGGGGGTGGGGTGCAGGCATGTACACGTGCACGTGTGCAAGCAGGTACCTCTGAGAGGAGAGAGATTTCAGATTGGCCTTTTCACACATTTGGACTCTAGGATGGGATTCTCACATAGCACAGAATAGTCATGTTTTGCAGACCCATTACATTTCATTCTAATTGGTGCTCAGCACATTTGAGATGGAAATGCTGTCAAGGCACGTGCAGAAAATTTGAGAGTTTGAGGGAAAAAATGTGGTATGTTGTTCATTGGGTCTGGAAAGATCTACCACAGAAATGTGTAGATTGCTTTTGTTTTCTATTTTATAATTTGTAAAGAAAACTCCTACATGGTACTGTCACTTTCTCCCAGGTTTCTCCCTCCTTCTTCATTGTTTAGAATTAGGGCCATTTGTTCCTCTTATGCTTCCTCTACCTTCTAGAAGATGAAATTGTTATCAGGACAAATCCAGAATTTATAATACCTTAATGCTGTAGTCTGAATGGTGCTGGAAGCGTTACAACGCATTTTCACAGACATGATGCGTGGGACAGTCCTAAGCGCTGTATATGCTTAATGACTAACCTTCAGTTTACATGGTTTCTTTCCAACAACCATGATGTCGTAGCATCTCATTCTACAGATGTGATATCTGAGGTTTGGTTTGAGGGCTAAGCCAGTGTCACGCAGCCACCTATAATTCCTTCTGGAAAGAGTGGCAGTTGAATTGATGGAAGGATAGCAGAAAGGAAGGAAAGTGATGTTCTTGGCACTTGAGACACATGGCTTGGGGTGGAATGAGACTTCCAGCTGTCTGTGGTGAGGCTCCCCATCAGAACTGTTCATCTCTGGGTGTCAGAATTATGGGTGCATTTTTCCTTCTTCATACTTTTCTGCGTTTCCCAGATTTTCACTGTAAGTAGACTAAAATTGCTTGTGTAATATTTAAAATATCTATTAAAGACAACAGAATAAGAAAAACATGTCCCAGTATATGAAAGATTTATCTAGAGTACAGCCTAAATTCCCTTCTGTCACTGTTTCTCCTCACTCCTTCTTAGAAAAGAAGAGCTGTACCTTTCACTGTTCATACCTTATTTCTTTGAATCCTGCTTCCATCCTAAAAACTGTTCAGTAAAGGTGTGTTTGTGTGTGCACAGTGCTATGCTGGGTACTAACAAATGTGTTAGACATGCCCCCTAGACACTGGCAGTGTAAACCCAAGAACTGAGAAGAGCAGAGATATTCGGTTTGTGTGTTGAGCAACTGCGAAGATGAGGCAAGAGGAGGTTCTGACAGTTCCGTGCCATGCACTGCGCTGTGATAAAGGTTCTCTCACTGTTAGACCTATCTGACAGGCCGAGACTTGGAAAGGGAAAGGAAATCGCCCGAGGTCACATAGCTCTGAATAATTGGCAGAGTCAGAGCTCACACCTAGGTTTAGGGACGATAAAGTCTGCGTTCTGAACTTTTCCTAAGTACTTACACTCTGTATGAATGTAAGAGGCTACACTTAGAGCCCTGTGTTTTTTTAATGCCTGAAATTCACGGTGTGCTTTCATCTACTGGAGCGTCTCCCAGTCGAAGCTTCCCTCGTAAGACCTGATCAGTCATCTGGGATTCCCTGTATTATCTAGTCACACAACAGCCAGGAATCTTGCAAACTCTTTGTTCTTTGACCTCAGGCATTTCACATCAAAGAGATGTGTCCTCACCCACATGCCAAAGTCTCCCATTTTAAGAATGTGTGATCATCTTATATTATCAAGATGTTGAGTAATGAGAAATGGATCACAGAATTTTAGATAGGTCCAGATAACATAAGATAATAGAGTTCAGCACCCTCATTTTGCAGATGAGGAAACTAAGGCCCCTTAGAAAGAAGGTCTCCCTCTCTCTACATAACTAGTGTTACACTCGTTTGCAGCACATACCGAATTTAAAATCTGTTCTTTCAGTAAATGTTTTAATTCAAGTGTAATATTCATACAGAAAAGTACGTAGCTCATAGAATTAGAAATCTTGTGATTCCTGGTCCAATAATCTTGCACCTAATTTAACAATATTGATGGTAAGTTACATTTGTGTAGTTCTTTATAATTTATTTTACATAGTTTACGCAGTTCTAGTGTATATGATTTCACTTAATCCTCATGGCAGTTAAGTGGGGGATAATCCTTATCCCACTTCAGGGATGAAGAGAGTGGGTCAAGGGCTCACCTAACGTCACAGAGCTGGTCCATGGAGGGCAGAGGGTGAATTGCTGGGCAAGGTTGAGTGCCACCCTAAGTACTGCGTTCCGTGTCAAGTTTGAAAACGCTGCTCCTTCGTTCATGTGATATCCAAGGTGGGGCCAGTCACCCAAGTTCACACGGTGGCAGTACATCACTCCTGGGTTTCAGTCCTACCACTGGCTTGGGTCATCTCCATGGAGAGACATGAGGAAATACGTATCTTGATTCTTATCCTAGTTGAATATCTTGACATTATTTCTGCATATGCTTGGTCCTCTTAGGAGAACAAGCTGTCAGGTTGTCAGCTTTTAAATGTGCAAGCATCAAATGTCAATGCATCATTCAGAGCTGTAACACAGGAGGATTAGCCTAAATCAACAGGCTTTTCACTCTAACAGATTAGAGTTCATTTGTTTAAAAAGGAAACTCAACATCTGGGAAAAGGTACCTCCAAGTCACATTTTCTTGACCACACAGTTGCTTTTCTGAAAATGCTGGTGCAGCCAGCTGAATCACTCTCTGATTGACCCTTATAGATGATCCATGAGATAGTAGAGAAGGTACTCTTTGGATACATAAAGCTGAAGGGCACCTTAGTCTACTAGGGCTGCCATAACAAAGTACCACAGAATACCGGGCTTAAACAGAAGTTTTTCCTCACAGTTCTGGAGGCTGGAATTGTGAGAGCAAGTGTCAGCAGGCTTGGTTTCTTCTGACGCCTCTCTCCTTGGCTTGTAGATGGCTGTCTTCTCTCTGTGTTGTCTGTATCCTAGTCTCCTCTTATAAGGACACCAGTCAGATTAGGGCCCACGTGTATGACTTCATTTTAATTAATTGACCTTATGTCCAAATACAGTTACATTCTGAGGTCCTGGGGGGTTAAGACTTCAACATATAAATTTGGGGGGCATACAGTTCAGCCTATTAGAAGGAACAAATGCCTATCCTTCATCCTTTCTTAAGATGAAGGAGACCTAACTGAGGCTTTTTGAAGTTCCTTTGTTCCCAATGTGTAACAGAGGTGCCATTTTTTCTGTTCATGAAATCACCCAATACCAACCCCAAAGTTACAGAATCCTAATATCCTAGGTTTGAGGAACATGGACCAATTTGAATAAGTGGAAGAGGCACTTAGCAGCCACATGGCCTTTTATGTCACCCAAGGTCTCTGAGCCCCAGGGTCGTCATCTGTAATGAGGATTTCCAGGACTGCCCGGCTTCTTCACACCGTTATTACAAAGGTCGGATGAGACAGTGTGTGTTCAAGGGTTTTGAAGAATGCAGAGCATTTTACCAATATAGAAGAATCCTACCTGTCGATAATAAAAGTTGGATCATTTTTTTAAAGGCTATAGATTGAACCCTTAATTTCCAGTAGTAACAAAAGAAGTATCCAAAGTTCTTCTAAGTAGTTTAGAGACTCTAAATAATTAAAGTTTAACAATCAGTTTTTTAATAGGTGACTCTTGCTAATGCTACAAAATTCAAAAAGTTTACAGTTTTTTAAAATAATTTTTAAAAATTTATAAATAAAATGTAAATCATTCTTCTACTCCTCTCATGACACAGCTCCTCCTCCAGGATGGCGCCCAGCACCATTTTCAGCTGTTCTGCTGATGTCTTCTGTGCATCAATATGAACATATGCATCTATGGCCTTTCTGTTTTTTAAGCTCAATATTAGCTGTTCCTTACTTTTTTCATTTAATATTGTATCAATTCATGTGGTTATCCCATTCTTTTGAATGGCTACATAGTATTTATGCTTTCTCCTCTCCCTGCTACCCATTTTTTCCTTCTAATTAAGTCACCTTTTTTCTTTTTTCTCCCCAAAGAATGAGCTCTCAGGTTTACTTACTAGCTTTTGTATTCTGTTTTACAGTTTGTCAATTTCTGCTTTTATCTTTATTCCTTCCTTTGGTTAATTTTGTTGTTGCTTCTTGAATGCATTTGTTTTCATTCTTTGTTAGTATGGTATTTTAAGGCTGTGAACTTTCCTCTGAATACTGTTCTAGCTATATCGCATAGGTTCTGGTGTGTAGTGCTTTTGTCATAGTTAAGTTTCTATATATAAATTCTGCAATTTTGGTTTTGATTTTCTCTTTGGCCCAAAAATTATATGAGAAGGAGGTCTTTAAATTTTTTGTTTGTTTTCTATTTTACTCATCAGTGTTGACTTTCATTGCCTTGCAATCAAAAAGTATGGTCTGTACTGTTTCCACACATACATAGTATTTATTATTTTTTGTGTGTGTCCTAGTACCTCAGTAGTTTTTGTGAATATTCCTTGGGCATTTAAAAAGATAGACTTTTGTCTGTTTAAGGTGTGGAGTTTAATAACTTTTAATTAGATCTACTCTGTTAATTACATTATTTCAGTCTTCCCTGTCTATATCTGTTTTGGTCCATGTGATATGTCTTGGACTTAGAAAGGTGAATTAGTCTCATATTCTAACAGGTTTCACTTTGTAGTTCCTGTAATGTTTCTTTTGGTAGTTTTGATGCTATGATTTTTCAGTCCGTAGATATTTATGACTTGGGTTTTCTCTATGAATTCTATTTTCTACTATTTTAAAGTGCCTTTCTTTGATTCA